GGAAAGAAAGAAATGGTGAGAGACATTTAAGTTATTCAAAGACAAAGACTCCAAGCCTGTCATTCTTTACCTTGCAAGAATATCACTTAAGACAGAAGGAAAGGTAAGAAGCTTTGCTGAAAGGCAAAAACTAATTTCTCAACACTGAGTCAGATATGAAAGAAGTGAAAACAAAAATTATGGATAATAATTTTATTTTCAAAAAACAATTATTCAACAACAATAAAATATGTAGAAGAAAACATGGCAATATGTTGCATGGCCTCAATGATAAAGATGCTTTTGGAGACTCAACCCCTACAGCAAGGGAAATAAAAACAAAGTTAAACAATTGGGCTTACCTCAAATTGAAAAGCTTTCATACAGTGAATGAAACTATAAATTGTTTAAGAAGAAATCCTACTGAATAGAAAAAACATGCACAAATTATACAACTAATAAGACATAAAAGTACTCAATTTAATAATAAAACTACAAAACCCAATTAATAAATGGCAGCACATCTAAACAGATAATTCACAAACAGGATACCTAGAATGCCAATAAATATATGGAAAAATGTTCACCACCATTTTTAATAAAGGGGATGCATGTCAAAACCACAATGAGATATCTAATCTTACATCCATTTAAATGGCACATTTTAAAAAGATCCCCAATAACAAGTGCAGAGAGGATGCAGAGAAAGAGGAACCCTATTACAGTGCTGGTGGAAATATAAACTAGTCAGTCACTTTGGAAAGTGATGGGGATTTACCTTTAAAAAACAAAAAACAAAAATACTGTGTGAGCCAGCAATCCCATTCCTGGACATCTATCCAAAAAGCTGGACACTACCAACTCAAATAACTGTATGCTCTACAAGGTTTATTGCAGTACTAATTTTGTTCTATGCTTATCTGTTTCCTTTGGTTTCCCCTCCTCCCCTCATTAATTGGACCCCATTTTTATTGGAGGCTTTCACTCAGTGTCTAATGGTACTTGACTCTTATAGATGATTTTTATCTGGTGGTCTTCACTGAAGTCTCATTATTTAGTCAAACTTTATTCAATAGAGTCTTTTAAGGGTCAGAATTTAGAAGCAAAATTTTAAGAAAATTACTGCCTGTAACAACGCAGAAGAAACTGTACTTAATATCTCATGCAGTGGATGAGATTTTTAAAGAGTTTTCAAAGAATAAGCTGGCTGCTATTCCTATAATTGATAACTCTATGAAAGAAAAACTCAAAAATGAGGAGATGGGTATGCACATGGAATTCAAAGGGAATATAGTGCCCAGGATAGGCAAGCCAGAAAATAAAATTGTTTCACCAAATCAAATGTGTGATCATTTAATACAGATTTGCAACAAAAAAGCAAAAATCCATGGTGCTACCACTATCATGACATCAAAAAAAAAAAAAAACAAATCAAGGGTGTAGCTACACCCTCATTTTTTAATACCTCTTAAGGGATTATGAGGATTACTTTCAGTTGGACCAAAGCACTCCTAAAAAGAGTAAGAGAATGAGAAGATGACATGCTCATGACATACAGGTCCCTGCAACTAAATCAAGAGTATCTTGAGTATCTCAGGCTGAACTAGTGACTGTTTCTCTACTCCTGCCCTGCTGAAGTCTTCCAGACCTTTACTCCCCATATTTGGGTGAATCCTATTTCTTTTATTAAAACTCCTAGTCCACAAGATACTTGTAATGAATCTGCAAATTCAGATTAAAACACCTGGCTTCCCTAGACAAGAGGCAGAGGCCAAAATCAAATCTATCACTTTATTAGAAGGGGCAATCCAAGTTGGTGAGAGTGGGGAAGAAAGGAAGCAAAATTAGAAAGATAGGAAGTAAATCCAAAGTTGATAAATTACTATATAGCACCTAGTTTGTTTCATGATAAGCCATAAGCATCATGGCCAGTCACTCAACAAATATACTTATCTCACATCAAATAGCCATATCTCACATCTCTGGACAGGAGAGTGAAAAACTGTTGCTGAACAATCCATCAGAAAAGAGAGAAATTCATCTAACAACTTTTCTAGTTCATTAATACAAGTTTTCCAGATTGCATCATCTAGCCCTATTGAAGGTCACTGGAGGGGCCTCCCTGGGGTATAGGGGTTCAGTCTCAGCACTATCACCCCTACAGCCTGAGTTCAATCCCTGGCCAGGGAGCTAACCACATGGCACAGCAGACCTCTCCTGTCTCGCCCGCTGCTCCCCTCGGCAGTGTATTTTAGTAAATCTGCCTGCTCTGCTCCCCACTCTGTCTCTAATGAATCTTCTCACCCCTCATACCTCTGGCCTACACCCGTCCTTCTGTACACACACACACACACACACACACACACACACACTGGCCTACACCCGTCCTTCTGTACACACACACACACACACACACACACACACACACACGCGAAAGTCACTGGGGAAACCCTGTGGCATGGTGCTTCCTAGAGTCCAGAAGTTGTAGAATAGATGAGGGACCCTTGAGTATGTGGCTAGTTGACCTCAGGCAGGGAAATCATAGAAACCTCCTGTAGTCTGTCACTATGTAGGGCCAGAGCTAGGGCAAAGCAAGTGGATATTAACCTAGAATCTGCAAAGGTGCTAGAGGAAAATATGTCTGATACTATATCTATTGGCATAATATATAATGTTGTGTAATAAAGTTACAGATCTTCAATGGCGTAACAATAGGCATGCCTTGTTCATACCCCTGCAATCAGGTAGTAGTTAGGTAGCTCTGTTAATCTTGACTGGGATCATTTACATATGTGCTGGCTAACCAGTCATAAGCCCATCTAATTAGGATTCAACTAGGGTGACCAGGATAACTTCACTTGCTCCCTGCCTTTCTTACCCCTTACCCTCCAGCAGGGTAACAGGCATGTGTGTGTTTATGGCAACCACAGAAATAAAAAAGTAAATGGAAATATACTAGGTCTTTAGAAATACATGTGGCCCAGAATCAGAGAGTACTTCAAAGGAGCATAAAAAAAGAACCATGAATACAAGGAGGAGTAAAGAATTACAGCCATTTTTGCAATCTATCATACCAAAGAAAAACAAGATAAATAAAGCCAATTCTTTGTTCTAAAGGGTATCATCACTTTGGGGGAAGAACTTGAGATTTTATCTGGTCTTAATTGTAAATTAGGTTCTTGAAATGTGCAGGTTATCTTAAGGCAGCTGTGAGATGGGGGCAAATGAGTGATAAGATTGTTCTTTTTTTCCTTCTCTCTCTTAACTGTAATGTCTAGTTGGTTTGTAAAGCCAGTATATGGCAAGAGATTTGGCTCAGGGAAGTACAAATTTAGCCCAGAGAAATCTAACTTTGGCCTTACTTAAATCAGTTCAGGCCTTCCTCTGTTCCCAAAGCCAAGTTCTAAACATGAAGAAATCCATTTTAATTCTGTTCTTGTAAAATAACTACTAAACAGGCAAGTCAGTTAGTTTATTTGGCTAAGATTATGAGACTAATAATGTTCAAGCCTTATATAATCCACGATCCTTTTAATGAATAGCACATAAAATGACCTCACTGAATCAAAGTCCTAGACTCTAGACCAGGTTCTTCCATTAACTAGTTATGTGGATTGTGACTATGGGCAAGTTAGTTAATCTTTTTAGATCTCAGTACCAGGTAAATATAATCAGGGGTTGCTTTAAATCACAATATTTCAAATATGGTAACAAAGGGTATCCTTTGTTGAGGGTAGTGAACAACCTAGACTTACTAACTACCTGGGAGCCATTACTATCCCTAAGTGAAAAAGTAGAAGGAGCAGGGACCTGAAACTAGAGAGTAATTGGATAAATGCTTGGGAAGAATGAAAAGTAGCACAGCCAACTCATGGCGACCTGGCAGGAAAGGAATCAAGGAACATACATCAATTTCATTTTCCTGCTAGTGCTTCCCATTTGTTGAACTCCCCCAAAAGTGAGAGAGCAAGGGGACCTACCTCACAAAGTAGAAAGCAGAACAGAAAAGAGTGGAGGGAGGGTCCAGAAGTATAAACCGAAGCAATCCAGCACAGTAGGGCTCCATTCACAAGCAGCTAGATTAGGTGATTAAATGATGTCCTCGAGACTTAAGTCTTTTTATCTCTCCCATCTGCTTTCCCTTGCTGGCTCCATTTTAAGGTAGGCTCTGGCTACCTGCAGCAGAGATGTCACAAGCAGCTCTAGGGTTATATCATGCTTAGTTCACGATTCCAAATAAAATAACAAATATAAACACATACACAGATTACTAAATGCCATGCACTGTTGAAAGCTCCTTAAGTACATTGACACTGTTCATCTTCATAATAACCCTACAGGGTAGCTACTCAATTACTCTCTCTTTAGAGATAAAGAAACTAATTACATAGTCTGTGTTTTAACAACTTCACCATATGGGATTCTGAAAAATAAACCCTATTTCCTACAGCCTTCTTATCATTTCCCAAAAAGGATGCTAGGTCATATGTTCATCCCTGAATCAATCACTGGCACTTTACTTGCTAAACTGACTCATATGTCCATTCCTGTGACAGCACATGACTGCTAGTAATTTCTCCCTAAAGAAGATGCCAGGAGGGTGGAAACAAACAATAAAGGTCCATCACAGGCATTGTGGGCTTTAGGGAACAGCACTAGGGATTGTGACTACAATTCTAGCTCTAATGATGTTTGCCATTAACTTCAAATAAATCACTTACGACTTCATTTTCAGTCAAGGGGATTCTGATGCTATCTCCCTCCAAAGGCGGTAGTGAGTATAAGTGGATATTGAAAGATATTGAAATCTCTAAACAAATATCTAATTATAGCTAATCACACATGTATAAATATAACCATTAAAATGTAGTAATAAAATTGATATGCCAAACTTGAGTAAACTTATGAAATAATTCTCAGTCAACATGATCATTGAAAATGCTTAGTTGTAACTTCCTCTTAAAGAACATAAGGTAAAATGAATGAAACTGAATTCTTTCAAGTGGTCATACAGATGATACATGAATATTTTCTAAGAATAAACAAAGCTCAATAAATTTATTGATTTTAGCAAAAATAAAATCACATAAATGGTTTCTTAAAAACTAATGGATAAGTTTTCTTGCTTCCTTGTCTCCAGAGCATTTGGCATTCTTTATCAACTGGTACATGAAAGAGTAGAAAAATAAAAGATTGTCATATTGTCCTCTGTATTTTTCTTTTAATATATCAGTATGGTAGTCAACCAAAAAGTAGTAAATAGCTTCAATTGTGGAAAGGAAGGTATCTGGTTTTCCCTTTTGATGACGCCAAAAGCAAGTTTTTCTTGTTTTCAACTCAACTTGTAACAACCCTGCCAAAGAAAAAGGAACAAAAGAATAAATATTTCTACTTAACCACAGGTAGTGATATAGTAATGAGATCTCTCTTAATTATTTTAAATTTTGTGTCAATACAATCAAAATAAAGGTAGAGAATTGGCTATTTTTCCTAACAATTATAGTATAATGCCAGGTTTAATATAATGGACTTCCCAACAACAAAAACAAACCATCCTTCCCCACTGCATGCCACCAAAGTTTCCTATGGTGAAACTTCAAAAAATGTCACTCTTCACATTTACCTTACATTTTATAATTAAATTAGGCACTTACCTTCAAATGTTTTATCTTGGCAGTAATGAAACAGCCTATTTCTCTGTAAAATTTGGTATAATAGTATATACTTATACATTGCTAAGTGGACTCAAGCTCAGCATTCATGATAATATAATAATACATTACATTTGAGGGTTTAAACTGAGGTTTAGAATCGGTTTATTCAGCTTAATTACATCAAATAATGGAATGTTTTAAAACCTAAGGGCAATGATTTATAACTAATATGGGTGGTTTCTTGTGAAAGTAACTTGGTTCACATACAAAGACATAAATATGCACAGAGCCCCAATTATCCTTTATTGTAATGAGAAGCCAGAGGGGCAGGGTTGAGGTAGAATATGCATAGATGCCAGAATCTAGTAATCTTTTTATTTCACTATTTTAAGGAAATAAATTCCTTAAATATGTTGTGTTTTCTATGTGATCTAGAAGGGAATAATATAATTTGTACAAATATGATTTTAAGCAAGCTTTAAGTACAAATGACACTCTGAAAACAGATATTGAACTTTACCCCCATAATTCCTTTTATAGTTTTTCTCAATTGTTTTCACGTTGTTTCATTTGATCTTTTTAATTGCCATATAAGGTAATTTTAAAGAAAAATGGCTCAGAAAAATCAAAAGGGTATGCTAATAATAGCTGTAACAAAATTATATAAACTGGAACTGTCATGAACAGTAATTTGCTGCTGTTACCATCCAAGGTAATGTGGTAGGCGATGTTCCAAAGGGCAGAGCCTTAGGGCTCTATCTCTATTAAACATTAGCAACAAGATTCTTACAGGCCTTAATCTCTTCCTCTCTCTTCCTCTCTCTCTCAGACACACACATAAACACATACACACTTAGAAGGACAAAGCAATCTTACTAGCGTGTATGAGAATTTCAGAGGTATGAACATATAAATAAAGTTCGCTAAATCTAGTCTAGTCACCCACATTTGAGATTAAATACCATAACTCAGACTCCAAAAAAATCATAAACTTTCTTTTCTAAAATGATACACATTTTTGCCTGGGAAAAGCTCGATCTAGTTGAAACTGCTTTGACAACTGTCTAATACTATCTGCGTAGGGCCTCCCCGGTGGCGCAGCGGTTGAGCGCTGGGTTGCGAAGCTGCCTGCAGCCTCTGCAGCCGGTTCGATCCCCGGCGATCCCCGGCTGCTCCCCGGCCACCGGAGGAGGGTCCCACATGGCGGCAGACCTCTCCTGCCGCCCGCTGCTCCCCTCAGCAGTGTACTTCGGTCCTTCTGCCTGCTCTGCTCCCCGCTCTGGCTCTGGTGAATTCTCTCACCCTCCCGCGCTTCTGACTGTACCCAGTGCATGTATAAACCAAACAAACAAATAATAAATAAATAAATAAGACATGCCTCTAGGAAAAAAAAAAAATATATATATATATAATACTATCTGCGTAGCTCTCTTCCTTTCTAATCATACATTGCACAGAAAGCCATCATAGAGGTAGAAAACTAAAGCTTTTAGAGAAATTACTGACAAAGTCTAAAGAAGTGAGTGAGGTGCAAGGGAAAAAGGGAAGTGATATGAGCTCCTGTTTTCTTCACATTACTAGTTGCATTATTAAGGAATGTAGAACAGCGCCTTGAAATGATTATTAAGACCTAAGCCTTGCATACTCAAAGAAAAACAGAAACAATATTAACCAAAAGAAAGAAAATCCCCAATGTTCCAATGTGAATTGGAACTCTTGATATATAGAGAGATTTATATATATATAATAAATACATATATTTATTTTTCTAAGCTCTGTCCACTAAACAATGACATCTGTAGTGTTTGTGTTCATTGTTGTCTTAATAGTAAATTTACCATATCTTGGTTTATAAAAAGAACCACAGTTCCTTAGAATAATGATTAACTCTAGGTCTGGACAGGAAAAAAGTAAAAGTGAGATTAGGAAATGTACCAGAAAGGCCACAAAGGGCATGAAGAATACCCACTGGCAAAATTTGAGACAGTATGAGTATCAAAAAAAAAAAAAAAAGATAAGACCACAGTAGGTGATAACATACTTGATTAAAAGGAAATCCAGACCACAGTGATGTCAAAAGGGATGAGGGATAAAGAATATGAAAAGAAAAAAAGGGAAAGCTTTTTACATAAAAATGCTAACAAAAGTTAAAAAAAATTAAAATTGTATCATTTTGTAATCCTAAATATAATTATTGATTCATGTAAGAGTCATCAATGGAAACTAAAAGCACTTAGTGAAAAGCAAAAGGGAAATATACAGCTCCTAATCTCAAAGCATTACCCACAGTTACTAATTACGAAGAGGAAAAGAAATCTAACGGAAAGACCTAGCAATTACCACTATAAGTAATTAATTTATCACCAGTCACCACTATAAGTAATTAATTTATCACCAATAACGGAATGACTTATATATCATATTTATCTGCCTCCTGATTTGATGCAATAATGAATTTACAACTGCTCCTATGAATAGGGAAGATGTATAGTTTATCAGCTAACAGGTTCATTTCTGAGAGAAAAAGGGAATGCTATTAATAGTTGTAATAAAATAATCTAAACTGGAACTGTCTTGGACAACGCAGAATTTATCTTTATAATAAGTATCTTTGCAAAAATATTTACACTGAATCTAATCTTAATGAAACATTCTGATAATCGACCTGCTTTCTTCACACAAGTCTAAGTAGTGAAATACAAAAACAGGGCACTGTTCTAGATTAAAAGTGATATAAAAGACATAACCAAATGGATGGTGAATCTACATGCTGTATCAGAGGGACAAATGCTACAAAATATATATTTTTGTGTAAATTAGAGAAAGGTGAATCTGTACTGTTTACTAGATATTACAGAACTTCAGCTAATTCTATTAGCACAATAGCAGTATTACAATTATACAGAAGAATGTATTCTTAAAAGATGTACAGAGGTATTTAAGAATGAACTATTTTATTTATTTATTTATACAATTTATTTATTTATATATTTATTTATACAAGCACTGGGTACAGTCAGAAGCGCAGGAGGGTGAGAGAATTCACCAGAGCCAGAGCGGGGAGCAGAGCAGGCAGAAGGACCAAAGTACACTGCTGAGGGGAGCAGCGGGCGGCAGGAGAGGTCTGCGTGCCATGCAGGACTCTCCTCTGGTGTCCGGGGAGCAGGCGGGAATCAAACCAGAGCTGCAGAGGCTGCGGGCAGCCTCGCAACCCAGCGCTCAACCGCTGTGCCACCGGGGAGGCCCTAAGAATGAACTATTTTAAATTACTGTAATAGTTCAAACAAAAATATATCTGTAACACAGACGGATACACACATAAGTAAGAGAAAGAGGAAGAAACACTCTAAAAGAACATTTTTTGCCCTTACCTTGAAGTCTCTCATCAGTGAATATTTTGTTTGTTTGGTTCCAAGTACTATCTATAAATATAATTTTTTTCAGTGTCATGTTTTTGCACTTGCTGTCATTTGAGTCTGTTTCCTCAGTTTTCTTGCGCTTCACAGATGGTTTATCAGGGTCATTTTTGTCTTTAATGTTATTTTCAATCCTTTTTTGCAGATGGAAAGAAATATCTTTTATTGAGACAGACTTAGGCCCAGGAAAAACAAGTGCAACCTAAAGCAAAGAAAATTAAGTTATGATCATCAATTATGATCATCAAAATGAATAAGTGACTTAAAACTCTGAGACAAAAATATGATGAACACTGAGAAACAAGTATTCAGTTCCACTATAAGTGCTTCTTTAATATGGTGAACTTTTTGTTCTTCCCTAATAATTATAATCATAAAATACTACCTAAAAGTAAGTTATTTACCTATTGATAGAAGCCAAGTTAATTGTATCTTGATTCAAAAAACTATTGTATTCCATAATAGCAAAGCATAATACTTCATAAAGGAATCACTGAAATGCATTCAATATTTAAATACTATTTTCACCTATACAGTAATAAGCAAAGATAAACAATACAGTCAATGCTAGTGAGGAAATTGGTGTAGTGGGCCTTTATTGATAGCAGGTTTAAATAGTATAACATTTCATAAAAGCAATTTGGCAACTTCACTTATGGGAATTTATCTTAATAAAGTAATTCTAAATATATATATACACTCACAATATCAAAAATGTGTTAAAATATATTTATGATAGTAAAAAATTAAAACTAGAAAATCTAACTTTCAAAGTAATAGTTATGGTACCACCTTTCTTTCACCATATTTTCACTAAGATCTTATATGCTAGAGCCTCTAATGTCTGAACAGCTTCATCCACAAAACAGACATTCGGTAATTATTTGTTAAATGCACAAAGGCTGGTAGAACTATGAGTATTTTAGCTCCCATATTTTTCTCCAACTCTCAAAAAAATTTTTAACAAGAATGTATCATTATGAACATGGAAAAATTATAAAAACAAAATCATAATAAAGGAAAAAATCTTGAATTTTATAAATTCAAAATTATAAATTTTTCAAATATTCACAATGCATACCTACACTGTATCTCTCCCATCCCCAATTAGCAAATCCCAAGGTTTCTTATTTTTCTTGGATTAGAAGCACACCATATCCCTTTGTAGAACCTTGCAATGTTTTGTTTAATTGATATAAATGATACCTAACTGACCATACAAGGACATAAACGTATTCCTAAATCCAAAACTCAGATAATATCTACAGACACAATATTCTACAAAACAATGTTAATAATTGTTAACACAATAAACTCAAAACAATGTTATCAAGAAAGGAAAACCAAATTCTTTCTGGAACAAATGAATGTATTAATTTTTAATTTTTTCCTAGATAAACCATACCAACAAACGGTTTCCAGGAAACCTAAAAGGGTTTACATACATACGTTCTTTCAGATATAGCCAAGGTCTATTTTTTTTTTTTAATTTATTTATTTATTTATACATACAAGCACTGGGTACAGTCAGAAGCGCAGGAGGGTGAGAGAATTCACCAGAGCCAGAGCGGGGAGCAGAGCAGGCAGAAGGACCGAAGTACACTGCTGAGCCATGTGGGACCCTCCTCCGGTGGCTGGGGAGCAGCCAGGGATCGAACCGACGCTGCAGAGGCTGCAGGCAGCTTTGCAACCCAGCGCTCAACCGCTGCGCCACCGGGGAGGCCCCAAGGTCTAGTTTTTTGAGTGTTAATGCAACATTAGTTTTCAGTAACAGTTCACTGAAATAGTATTAACTATGTGAAAACCAATTAATAATCTAGAAATGAGAAAAGAAGCCTCTGGACAGCCAAAACAAATGTTATGAAGGCCACTACTAAAGATTTTAATTTAGGAACAATTACTGAGGATCCTTCTGTCTTTTCTTCTTTTGGAGAAATATTAACATTTATGATATGGTTTTCTCAATTTTATCAAATCAAACCATCTATGTGTAGTATAAGCAGGAGAATGGAGAGGGGATAAAGTATAAGCAGGCATCGTAATACTAGGAAACAATAAAAACCCGAAGAATTAACACCTAACAGCTACGAAAAGTAGAAATGCATACTCAAAAAGGCATTAAGTATCTAGGATCATTTGATATATGAATACACCAGTGAAGGAAATTACATGTTGTTTAGACCTACGTAAGGACAACCCTAGGTCATTTAGAAAAATCTTGATTTAGAAAAATCTTGGAAAGACAGTGAACTTTAAAATTCATTTTTAGATTAAATGTTAAGAGCTGTAAAAAAAAAATAAGTTGCCTACTTCATGGTCCTTTTCTTCATATTCTGGAATACAAGGATATGTGTAAATATTTACAAATTCGGGTGCTAAGAGCTTTGCATGTATAGCAGTACTTTTGCCATCTGTTTCATTTGGATGTTTAATGATGTCGATCTTCAATGGAAGCTAAAATTAAAAAATAAAAAGACAAATGAACAAATACAGAAATGATCATTTTATGATAAGAAGTGTTCAACGCTTAAATACTAAGTGCATACTAAATATAGTTACGGTTTATATATTTCCATGTTTCTAGACCAAAATGTTAAGAACAAGAGTCATATACAAACTCATTCATTCCTTTATATAGTTAATCATGTAATAAGAAAACCATTTTCAAAGCATTTAACATAGAATCTGTTTTTAAAATAAAGCTCTAAATTCATTTTCATTTCAGTTACCATAGGCATTGAATGCAATTCCTGACGTATCAGTATCTGTGCCAAGAATATTTTTATAATTCCTGTAGACTTACATTTAGTAATTTTATGGTATATTAAAAGGAAAAATAAGTTTAGGCAAAAAAAATGAGATCTACAGTTCAGGTTAAAATTTTGTTCCATGTACATCCCTTGAGATCAAGAATATTTTTGCTTTTAGTGAGCATCATGATTCTCAGTTGTGGTCTTTATGAGCCCAAATGAAGTAATTATCAGTTGGAAAAACAGCACCAGAGTAGGTCTAGGAAGGGTACTCTTTATATAAAAAATAACTCTTCAAAATCATTTTGCCTATTTCATTTAAGGTTTCACTATTTGCCATAGATTATGTCTTTTCTCTACGCAAAAATAATACTTCTGCATTTCTTTGAGTTAGACTTTTCTACTATTTCACCAACTTGTTTGGTTTAGTCTTCTGTACAATGGCCATACACTTCTTACATATTTGTATAATAAGTATTCTTCCAGCCCCTATTCTGTACTAAACAGGCAAGATTCTGGGTATTTACCCTGGCACACACAGCTACATTACCCTGGAGTGTAAAGCCATTTTTCTTATTTAAAACAGCTTTATTAAGGAGATAAAATAAACTGTACATGTTTAAAGCATATAAGCTACTGAATTTTAACATTACATTCTTGATCTTATGACAATCATCAAGACAATGAAATATCCATCACTCCCAAGTCTTCTTGTATCTCCTGCCACCTTCTTTCCCCATTAACTGCTATCTACAGTTCTACTATCATGACAGATCAGTTTGCATTTTCTAGATCTATATGCAAATGAAATCATATAGCTTGTACTCTTTTCATCTGACTTTTCATTCATTGAGGTTTATCCATACTGTTGTGTGTATCATTTATCCTAGAACTATTGTTTCTTTAAGGAGCAGTTGCTGCATATTACTAAATAATCCTAATTTCATTTTACAGGAAAATTATGTGGAGAGCAGGAGGTGAGCTCCAAAAGGCCCTTATGTAATTCAAGTAGATTTCAATTAGAGTTTCAAACCATATGTCATCCCCCTGAGGCCTAGTGAGGGGTATAAGTTAGGACCAGTTGCTTCAAATCATCAAATGTCCAATTATGGAAAGTTTACTGTTCATGTATGCAATTCACAAATGATTTTACATCACTCTACTTCTGGTTGAACTCTACATAATTTTCCTCGTGACCATCCTCAGTTGATAAATTTTCTTTCCCTGGGGTTTCAGTACCAGGTCAACATTATCTTATGCCAGGAAGGTAGGAAGGAGGAACGAAAAAGAAGGCAGATGATAAAAGAGCATTCTATTACTAATAAATCTGACTTTCTTTTTTTTTTTTTTTTTTTAGTTTCTAAGAGCATGAACTTTATTTAACAGGTAGTATTTTTTTATAATAAATTTTATTCTTATATTCCCCATACAATTGCAACCTCCTTATTTTGACCCCAATCCCTCCCCTCCCGCCCCCTACCCCCCCAAAGTGTCTCTGGTTCATAGTTTTTTGTTGATTTTGATTTTCACTTTCTTAATAAAACTGACTTTCTTATATGACTGATGAGCAGGGTTGAAAGTTCCAAAGGCCATTAACATAGGAGATCAGCAGAGCTGGATATCTTGAAGGATATCATTTATATCAAAAACACAGGACCAAGTATTAATAATGCATTTTCTAAGTCATGAACCTAGTCTATTTATAAACTAACCTAATAAAAAGATAAAGTTATATGAACTAAAATCTCTTCTGTTTAAGACAGTGATGCAAAATGTGTGTTTAAGAAGAACTCCTGGGGTGCAAGTCCAGGAATCCTTAGTTCTCCCTGAATAATACTGAATTTATAATACTACGAAACAACAGCTTAGAAACAGGTAAAATCATGGAAATAGGTTTGCTCTAGCTCACAGATTTTAAATAAAGGTAGTTCTTAAATAATTAACAGGGTACAGAGTAACACCAGTTAAGTTGATCAGACACAGTTCAAGTAAATATATTCTGTTTTCAAAAGGGTAAAGATCAATCTGTTTTCAAATACCTCTGTTTCCGATAAAAGAGTTAACACCACTGCTTTGCATAAATATATCAAAATGCCATTAGCAGGAAGCACTAAGCCTCTTTCAATGTGATTATCAACCTTCCTAAAGTCTTTTAAATTCTTTTAAAAAATGATGAGTCTTTCTTTTCCCTTATAATTTTTTTCTCCCCTTTCAAAGAAACCACCAATAGCACCATTTATCTTTGCTTATATATTTCTCATGGCATTAAAAAAATCATAGTCTGCATGAAAAGATATTTATGAATTTATTCCCTAGACTAAAGTTTAAAGCTGGGGAGGTACTTTTTCATTATGTAGTCATCTCCCCTTCCTAAGCAAGCTATCTAAGAGCAAATGATGAATGACAGTTATAAAGTAGCAGAAATTAGAAATTTTTGTATAGTTTTCATTACCATTAGTATATATTAACATACTAAATTTTACATATGGCCATTATAAACAGTCATAGAAAACTGCAGTGCCTAGTAGGCCACTTAGAATTGACCAAACATTAGCAGGTATTTTGAATCAATTCTATTAAATAGTGCACATTAGACCACATTTGATTTGGAAAATAACCCTCTATTATTAAATTATTATAAAAATACTAGCCCTGTCAAATACCATTGACATTAATTATTCTGATCTGCAATCATTTTAGAATGCAACCCATCTTATGATAAAACTTATTTTTTAGAGATAAAACTTTTAATTGGATAAATATGCTTTACATGACTTTAAATAGTAGAATAATTCTATGTATACTGCAAAAACTATACTTTAGAAATGTAACATTCTTGTAAGATAAGAAATTTAAAAAAGGAATTATTATCCTCCTGGCTTTCCTGAAGTTTACAGTCCATGCTTCTTTATTTTGGATAGTAATTTCCATTAAGTGTTAATTTGGGCTCATGAGGTTAACATGGACTTGCCAAGATGACATATAGGCTTAACTCAGTGTTAAGATATTTTTCTTACTTCAAATTGAGATGAATATTTATTTTAAATATTAACCACTTAATACTAAATTTTTTAAACATAGTTGCAACTTATTTTCTTATTGGTAACGTCTAATAAGTTCATGCATAGAGTTTGGTCTCTCTCAAGTCCTAACAGGCAGGGTAAAACTTTTTTGATTAATAACTAATTGTTTAATGACTCTTATAGTTAGGTCAGTATGAGGCACATTAACACATAAATAAATGGATCGGAGGGAGGGAGGAACACAGCAGAGGGAGGTGATGGTGCACGGGTGCATTGGTGAAGGAAACTCCATGGGGACTACACCTGAGGGGTGGGGAGAAGCAAATATTGTTTAAAAATGAACAATGATGTTAAAAAAAAACGAATTAAAAAAATAAAACACTTAACAATTAAAAACTAAAATATTTACAGCGGGTTAAAAAAAGTCTATTTTGTCTTTTATGAGAAAAAAATAAAATTATTTTTGGATTACACAGACATGACGGGGTATGGACCTTTTACAAACACAAGAACAGCACTGGTAAGCAACAAAAAGGAAAAGGTAAACAATTCAAACCAATTTTTTAAATCTGGTTTTTAAGCATTACAATTAAAGCATAGCACAAAAAATAGTCTTAGGCCTTTAAATATTAGTTTAGCTTAGTTCTGATCACTGATATTTGCTCCATTTCCACATATAGGACATACAAGTCAAAGAAAATCAAGCCTAGTTCCTTTAAGATATGTTTTCTCAAAGAGGGGCTGAAGGACCTGAGGTAGTTTTTCATGCTCTTTCAGGGAGTCTATAAGGTACTCATGTTTATACCACATTTTTTTATGCTGTAAACAAACTATAATCATTAATTTTAAAAGTAATTGATTTCATTAAAAGCGATATTCATCTTAGATCCAATGTTTAGGCAGTGTATACCTCTTTCTAGAGACAAAAAAATAAAACAATAGGTTTAGCTGTCTACGGGATTAAATTTTCTATTATATAACTCATTTCCACAATGTTCTTTATCAAGTCATAAACTGTAACCGAAGTATAGAGGAGATGTCTTTTTAAAATCTCTCTATTTTCAAACAATTTAAATTTCTTACCAACCTTCACAACTGGCATCTGTTCAATAGGTACATTTTCAACTGGGACGTAGCATGTATAGCAGTAGAACATTCTTGAACCCCCACAATGGAGACATTTTGATCTCCCATTTTGCTGAGCTTTTTGAAGAACTTCTTGGGACGCTAAGCATAAGTTTTGAAGAGGGTCCTCTGAATCTATAGAAGTAGTTTGTGACTGCTGTACTTCCCCAAATGTTGAATTATTTTCTTCCCTTTCTTTGAGAAATACAGGTGGACTGAGGGACATTTTTCATTCAAATGAAAGTATAACATCAACTCTAAAACACATATCATAGATGAACTGAAAAAAAAAAAAAGGGAGGTATTAAAAAAAGACATTTATTCACTGCTCCTACAAAGAAAATTACTCAACTCACAACTGTGTTCGGCTTTTGGTATTTATTAATAAATTTTAACAAGTTTTAAAAACCACTAAATTAGTATGCTTTAAAATAAAAATTAAAAAGCAATTAATTCAAAAGAACGAATTACCCTTTTGGGCCCTTCCTCCATAAAAACAGAAAGGTGCTCTCAAAAAAAATTATTTCAAACATAAAGTTTAGATACTAAAAATCCATTTTTCAGGAACTTTTTGTTCCAGACACAGGAATTTTGTTTATTATGAATCTAATGGTTTAATGTTAGCATCAATCAGGAATATATTCAACCCTCTAGGCTCTGATTCTGAATTGATGTTGCATGATCTCAAATCTCAACCAAAACACTAATGAAAACGCAAAGTTCCAGCAAAACCAGTAAAATCCCATGAAATCACCTGGAAGCCTTGAACTTTATCTACAATACTGGTTTACTCCACGTGAATTAAAATATATAACTAAACAGTTATTACATTGTGGAAGGCATCTATGTAGTGCCAATTATAATTTATAAAATACCCTAAAAAGTGAAATATATGCCAGGGAAAAAGTCTAACCTTATAGATTTTTAAATTGTATTTACAGAATAACATTAACAATCACTCACTATCAGAATTCACTGTTTTCAAAAAATCTGTATCATTCAGATTCTTCATTAAAAGACGTAAAGTAGTAACATAGTTTTGCCACTTAAATATTTTCTTCAAAGACGGATGACGACTGCCAAAACTATTATTCAAGTACTCTGTAAGCATAGTATCTTTCAAGGGAGAAAAGAGACTGGGGCCCTTTCGATTTGATATGCATTCCAAAGCTGTAAAATGATTCTCTTATTATAAAGCCTTATGGCATTGTGGTGTTTTAACTATGAAGCTCCAGGCACTTTGAGTACAAACACTGGACAGGAGAAATGCTGTGACTGCAACAGGAAACTTTCTGTGGTCTGCCAAATAGAAAGTGAACAAAATGTCCAGCGGAACACAATATACAACATGATTTACTAACAAGAAGTTAGTGATACTAATTTAGTTACTCATCAGGAGCTTTTTATAGACTGTAATTCCCAATGAGCTTGAGACACAAAGAGATGCAAAGAAAAAAGATGCTGATATTGAAGGAAAAGTAAAATATATTTTCCAAATTTATTCAAGGGAAAAAATAAATGACTTTTCTCATTGGGTATATTCCCCACTACTAGGAAAAGGTGATGTATATAAGCTGCTTCCTTTTCTTGGGTTAGATCCTTTGAAGATGACATGAGAGTCTTGGACTTTATCTCTAGGAAATGCATATTCAGACACAATATTTTGCAGACAACTTCAGGTGGTTTATAGATTGAGTCCAACCACAGATCCAGATAAAAAAAAATCCTAACCTTAAAAATTCATTCTAAGGACAGGAGGCAGTCTAAAAATTCTGTATTTTTTCCAGAAATCTAATTTTGTTTGGGCTAACAAAAGGTCAACTCACTGATTTTAGGAATTTAGTCAATTAATTACCTACCAAGTTGCAACAATTCTACCTTGCACATATTCTAGGCTTAAAATCAGTATTCTGGATGGTCTACAGCAATCTCTTAAATCTCTATTTTTGCACTTATTCTTGGTTCTATATATTTAACATGAAAAATGTTGGAGGTGTCTTTTAGCGAAGTTATCCTTCCTAGTGGTCCACTCAGAATTCTTTACTGATCTCCTCCTATCCCTGGAGGGACTAAATACTTAACTAACTGAAAACAAACAAAAATCTCCAGGGTGCATTTTGCTCCTGAAGTACCCTTGTGACCCATCTGCAACCTGCATAAGCAGCAGCCTGGCAGAACTTTCACTTTTTTGCAAAACAATAATGCAAAAAGGTCCCAACTACAAGTAGTTGACTCACCTTCCAATGGAACATCATACAAAGCCCTTTATACTATGTATTATGGACCAATTCAGTAAAACCCACTTCAAATTTTCTATCTGGGATATTTTTAAGAACCTCATCACGTGATATGTTCAGCTCTTTTTTTTCCCCCAAAACAAATACTAGGTACCACCTTTCCCCCCCACCCCCGGCACAGGATTAAGCAGCCCCTTCCAAGCCACCCACCATGTAGCAGACAACTGTCATTCCTTAATTTTGGGTGGCATACTGGGGCTCGGACAGAAGTAATCCCTAAATGGTGTGGTTTTAAGTCAAGCAGCATTTACCCTTCAATCCCGTGGATTTGGCACTTTCACGTGTTAAATAATCGTCCTTCTTGTCCTACAGCTCCAAGAGCTAACTTAGACTTAGGGCACAGCCGGATATTTTAAATACACTGCCCAGGTACGTGGTCCTAAGCTTCTCCTTCGTTGTGACCAACCCCCCGGAAGCCACTCCAGGAAGCAAAAAAATAAAAATAAAAAAATGAAGAACCAGGAACTAAGTTTGCCAGGGTGGACTTTCCTTGGGGTGCAAAGCACCCAAAATACATTAGGAGGGGCCTCTGCTCGTTTTCTGACTAAAAATTTGGAAACCTTTTTTCCAAAAGGCCCGCAAGCTCCTGAAAACGCAAGCGCCCACGTCAAAACCGAGGGCCCCCTCACAGGCGACACCCGGCGCGACCGCCGCTAGCGCCCAAAGAGCGTCCACTCCCCGCGGGCTCACGGTTAAGTCAGACCACTGGTCCCCAGCGAGTGGGGGGCGCGGGGCTCAGACCTGCACAGCCCGGGGGTCCCCGCACAGCTCCACGAATCCACCTCTTCGCCGGAGGCGCGCACCGGACCGTGATAGCGGACGGACCTGGCGGAGCGCTTTCCCGGGGACACTAGGGGGCGGAGCCCGGCGTTGCTAGGACCGTTGCTAACACCGGGCGCCGCGCAGGCCTCCGGGCGTCGGTAACTACGCGGGAGCCGTGAGGCGGGGTGAGGCTCGAAGATTGTGCTCTGCTTTGGTGGCTGACGGCGGGGTCCCCCTGCGCGGGAGAGGCGAGGCTGAGGAGCCGCAGTTGAGGGACTCAGCACCCCCCACACACACACCCCGCCTGCTCGCCCCTCCCTACGAGGGCTGCCCACCTAAGACCGGCCTGGAACAGGTGGTTCTCGAAACTACCTCAAGGTGTAGTTCCAGTGAGTTTTGAAACATTCAAAGCTTACAGAACACGTTTTCATTTTACCAGGCCCCAAATATTTTAATAGTGAGAACTTGGTTCTGTTACTCTTTTGTGGCTGTGTCAAGATAGTGCGCTGAGAATCAGGAAAGCTGTTAGAAAAATTGTTTATCTTGATAATTTGGTATGCTTGAAAGCTACATAGCTAGATAGACTTGGTACTAATTTGTGCGTTTTTCCAGTTTGAAATCAGGCATAATATGTGAAGAAATTACTAAACTATATTTTCCCTTGATGAAGCCAAAAGAAACTCTAAACCCAAATGAGTGCATGTTATAACTCTGAGATTGAGAAACATAAAGGCCAAATATTAAGCAACGTATTTAAGGACTATGAGTTTAGCAAGTGGGAGATATAGGACAGGATTTTGTCCTAGAGGAGTTTACTATATCAAGTAACGGAGAGTAAAAAAAAATATAATATGATTAATAAATAAGCGATAGGAATTACAAAAGAGCTCAGAATGGAGTGGTCAATGGAGTCTTGTTGGTTGGACTTGAGTGAGGAGAATGATTATTTATAGTTCAGAGATTTTCAAGGGAATTATGTGATCCATTGATGGAGGTCCCATTTGTAAGCAAGGAAAGCTATTTAGTCAGAAGTGCAATCTTTAAAAAGAATGAAGTAATAGAGGGTGACAATATCATTGCATGACAATTGGTAAAATTAAGTATTACTTTGTGGAGTGTGTGTGTGTAAAGTGAGGTCATACTTATAAAATGCATATCTTAGTGGTGGTACATTTTGAAAAGTTTGAAAGTCACTTAGGAGGAAAAATGAGAGTTCTCGGTAGGAAAATTAGTAGCAAAGTCTCCAAGTCAAGAATAAGTAATTCACAACCTTTCTCTACTTTAACTGCTTTCATTCAAATTAACATTGTTCAGTAAGGCATGGAGGCACAGCTTTTTTCTGATAATTCAGCTGGGGAGATTACAAACGGTAATAGACCCTCTGATGTGTGACTTCTTCATGTAGCCTAGGCTTCTACACAGTGTGACAGCAGGGTAATCAGACTTCTTAGCCTAGGCTAAGACAAATGTTGCAATAAAAATGGCAGAAACTCCATCCTTTTCTGATCTAGTCTTAAAAAGTAACACTTCTCTCACATTCTTTCAGTTCAGATTTTAGGAGAGAAGACATAATGCCACTTCTCAAAATATTGTCAAAGAATTTGTGGCCTTTCTTTTCTTTTAAACCAATGCACTGCCATCACAGAAAACCCCAAAGTTTCAGGGGCTTAATATGATTACCTATTATTTCTCACAAGAAATCCATTGTGGATGTTACTAGTCAGATGAAAGGTTAGACTCAAGAATGTAGATTTCTTTTTATTTTCAGTGGTTCTGTTGTTCTTTAAGACTTGGGAGTCCACAGTTTATCTGACAAGAAAAAAACATGGTGAACCACCCAAGCTTTCAGAGGTTAGTCTTAAAAATGGCATATATCTCTGTGCCCACATTTTACTGGCCAGAGTTTGGTCCCAATTTTACCACTGTAACTGCAAGAAAGTCTGGGAAAAGTAGAGAGATATACATGTTTGGCAAACAATAATGATTTTGCCATATTCTAAGTTTTTTAATCAAAACCCTGTGGACCCCAATCCCTCCTAGCTTTTCTTGATTATTTTCTCCAAATTCTTTAACTTTTTAAAATATTCTGTTATTTGCTTTATATGTCAAAATTTACTATATGCATATACTGCAATTCCTTGATTTTGCAATTTCAGACTGTAACTATTGAGTTTCTTTTTGAAGGCATAATGAGCTCTTTTATAACACCACCCCAAAATGTATGAACATTCCTTCTCCCCAACCCCCTACACTCTTCTTAGAACCTCATCTCTCAAAATAGTAATATCTCATTGGTTTAAAGAAACATTTGTAAATAGTATTCAACCCTAAGACATATAGCATACTGTGTGATCATGTTAACTTTTAATCCAACCTTTTACTTGCCTTTGTGTTAATAATTGCCATATTTTTATCACTTATTAGTAATCTGTCCTCAAACAATTGGCCAAAGTGAGAAAGTATCACCAGCCAATTCATCTAGAGGTTATTTTTCTTTTTCCTTCCAGATATTCCTTCTAGACCATGACAACCTTTAGTTCATTCAGTATTGGTTGCATTTAACAATCCAATACTGCTCTCCTGTGTTGGATCCTTTGTTTCCTTTTTTCATTGCTTAATTCTTTGTTTTTATGAAATGTATCCTCTATTACCTTCCTAGAAAAGGTAAAGGGGAATGTGGTAGACAGAATAATTACCCCTCCCCCTAAATATGACAGTATCCTAATCTCCAAAACCTATGTAGATGTTATCATATGTTGCAAAAAGAACTATGCCTATGTGGTTAAGTTAAGGAACTTAAAATTGGGGAATTACTTGAATTATCTGGGTAGACCTGGCATATCCCAAGGGTCCTTAGAAAAAGAGATCAGGGAGAGAAGCAGATGCTATAGTGTTGGCTTTGAAGTTGGAGGAAAGAGTTAGATGACTGCAAGAACCTGGAAAAAGCTAGGAAGCAGATTCTCCCCAAGAGCCTACGGGAGCATTTAAAACCATTTTCAGACTTTGTTCCTCCAAAACAATAACATAATAAATTTATGTCATTTTAAGCCAGTAAGTTTGTGGTAATTTGTTATAGTAGCAGTATGAAACTAATCCAGGGAGAAATGGTGGTAGTTTTTACTGTCTTGCAGATCTGAAAAAGGCCACAAATATAATTGATCGTGTGTCTATATTAAAATTTCAAGGTTGAAAATCATGTTACTGAAATGCTCGGATCCTATTCTTTTTCCTTTGATTCCTTTTTTCTTAAACATTTTTATTCTAGTTTCCAAAGATTTTCATCAGGTTTTCTCCCCACAAATTGTCTATTGAATATTATATTTGTGTTTTAATCTTATTTTTTTATTACCTTAAATAATGTTGTTTTGGTTTCAGGGATGCAGTGTCTTATCATATTTCTCTAAGAATCTCCATTAAAGTTAAAAGCACCATAGTAAAATAAAACACTAAAACAGTGCACAGCATTTTGTCCTAGCTGACAAAATTTTATGTATATGCATATATATGAGATCTGTGTATCTGTCTGTCAGGAAAACTCTGTGAATCATTGCAAAATACTAACATGGTAATAGAAAATGAGCAAATGATTTGAGAATTTGCTTTACAAAAGAAGTTATTTAAATTGCCAGCAAGCATGTGAAAAGTTGTACAATATCAATGCAAATTAGAATCACAAGATACCACTATATACCACTATATAACCCCCCTGAACTGCTGAATTTTTAAGGATTGACAATGCTGAATATACACTAGTACTAAAGAATATTCTTTAGTAAGAATGTAAAATAAATGAAAGTTTTGCACACTTCTGTTAGGAGTGAAAATAGGTACCAACATTTAAAAAGCTATTTGATAGTATCTACTAAAGCTGACAGAGCAGTCCCACTCTTGGTTATGTATCAAGTATACCAAAAGACATTAACGATAATGTTCATACTAGTTCGATTTGTAATAACATACAAACAGGAAATCACTCAAGTATCCATCAAAAGTGGAATAGATAAATACAATTTGGTATATGTTATAAAATAGAATATTATGTAACAATGAAAAACCTTGAAGTCCTCCTATGTGATACAACATAGGTAAATATAGGTAAATCTTATAGACACAATGTCAAGTAGAGGGAAGCTAGAGGAAAGGATCCATATTGAAGCTCAATGATAGAGTGGTAGAAGTCAGGGAGGCATCTGACATTTCAAAGGCAAAGAGTGAATGAATGATGGAAAAGAGGAAGAGGTTACTCTGGTTATTGACTGTATCTATATCTTGATTTATATACATTGATTTTATACATTATATACATTGATTATATACATTATATACATTGATTTATGCATTGGTTATATGGTTATATATATTTGTATAAAGTTATCAGTCCATATACTTATAGGTATTTTGCAATTTACTATATGTTTTACTTTAATAAAAAAATTAAGAAATAAAATTACACTTATCACTTAGAATAAAATTCATCACTGATCATTATATTAATGTTGGTACTATAAAGGAATACATAATAAGAGATTTCTTAAAAGGAATCATAGTGATGTAATGGATATAGAAGATAAGGAAGGAGAAGGAAATATCTAGATAATTTTGACTACAAATCTTGATGATTGTGAGACCTCTACTATGGAAAACAAATATAAATTTAAAGAGTAAGGATTTGTTTCATGGGATGACCCTGAATTTTTTTTGAGAATACTAGGGTTGAGTAAAAATACTGAAATGTAAAGTATTTATGCACCAAGTGTTTTGTGAATAATGTGTCTCAAAGTTATTATTATGAATAAAAATCAGTTTTCAGTGATCCATTACATAGAATTTTTAAATTTGTGCATAAAGATTATCATTAAAGATTTTCTAGGTATCTTTTGTTCAGGTTTTCTGTTTTAGTTCTATTGTGATTAGAGAGCATACTCTGAATGATTTCTTATTCAAAATTTTTGAGATTTGTCTTATGGACTGCAGATGTCCATTTTCATGAATGTTCCACTACATTACTTTAAAAGATTGTGTATTCACTCTGCAGTTGTGGAGTATAGTTGTTATGTAAATGTCATTTAGGTTAAGTTGCATGATAATGATGTTCATATCTTTAGTCTCTCTTATTTGTGTTTGTATGTTTGTTATATGCATTGTATATACAGAAATTTGTTAGTTTCTCCAATTATAATTGTGATTTTGCTGTATTTCCCTTCAGCTTTATTAATTTCTGCTACAATTATTTTAAAACTCTGCTATTAGATACAAATATATTTAGGATAGATATGTCTTCTTAATTCATTTACCTTTTTATCAGCATGAAATAGCCATATTCGTGTCTGGTAATCATCCTTGTTTGCAAGTCAATGTTGATATTAATATAGATATGCTAATTTTGTTATGATAGTGTATACATCGTTCTAGATTTCCAATTTGTTATGTTTTGGGTATTTCCATTTCTATTGAAATATCCAACCTCTTCATGTCCTATTAGCCAACCTGTGTTGTAAAATCTTTAACATATTTATGATAGTTGTTTAAGAGATTTTGTTCATTATAACTGCATTCTATAACTGAGTTCTAAGTTTGTATTGACCGTTCTCTCTTGATTATGGGTCCCGTTTTCCTTCTTTGTTGTATGTCTTCCTATTTATACTATTTTGTATTAGATATGGGAAAATCATGGATGCTGAGGTTTAGTTTTATTTTGTTTTCAGAATGTACAAGTCTTTTTCTCAGCTTGGCATTTAAAGTGGGAGTTTGGTCTTTTAGAATCCTCCTAGACCTGGATTGAATTTTAGAGTAACCTGTAGCTTTAATTAGATTGAGTTCACCTGTGACTAACCTAACCTCCAAAATCTTCCTTGTTAGCCACCTCTTATATCTTGTCCATACTGGGTTGGGTAAATCTGGATTGAAGTTTAGGCATTTTTGTTTTACCTTTGGCTTCAACTCTACCAGGACTCTGGAACCCATGTACTATAAGAATGCATTGGCCTTTATGAGTTTTCTGTTTTTCCAGTTCTTCCACTGCTGCTTTTTTTGACAAAATTCAGAAGTGAGGTGTGGGAGCAGGGATAGGGATTATTTGACTGAGTCATTTGTTTTGGCATTTTCAGACTCCAGTTTGCTCTCCCAGTTTATGTGGATGCCTAAGGCCCAGCTGGTTTCTCTTCAGCTCTGTCAAGTTACTACACCATGGCGGACCCATTCGTCTCTGAATGTCCTCACATGACTTACAGTCAGGTAAGGAAAATGCCACAGCTTTGTCTCCCATAAATGTCCTGTTTCATAGATTTCAAGTCATCAAGAGTTCCAGGTAGGGCAGGTCTTTGGGTTTGCAACTTGTGCAACTCCACCAGGCTTCAGAATAGTAGAACCCTACATTTGATTTAATCATCTGATGTTACCATTTGATAATTCCTAAATTTAAGCAAGGGACTCTGCATTGTCAAAAAAGTATGTTGCCAGTATTGTTTCACTGACATCCATTGCTCTTCAGTAATCCCATAGAAAAGGTTTTTATTTTGCTCAGGTTTTTCTTTTTGTTCCCATTGGAACATAGGTGTTTTGCATCCTTCTACATCCATCCTACCAAGGTCAGAAGTCTGTTTAATTTATGCCTTACCTCCTTAGAAAACTTTGAAATTTTATATTGAAATTACCTAGAACTCATAAGTTATTGATCTGTTTATTTTCAATGTTTCCTTAATTAATTTTTCTAATTTCCTGTAATTGAAGGGTGGATATTATCTTTAGTGTTTAGTAGTAGAAGTCATTACAAGAAAAAGCCAACATTTAAATTGTTTTAATTACATTCTTTTATGTTCTGTGCATTTAAAAATATACTTATAGCCTCCTTCTAACCAAATTGCTATAGTCATTATCCCTGAAGTTATTATATCCTTAACATTTTTCTGTCTCTAAGCATCCAGTACACATCAGTTCTCTTATTTCTCAGCCTTCTCAGTCTAAGCCTAGAGTCCCCTGTTTTCCACAAAATTTCCATGATACCCTTATGCATTTTTGCTTTTGAACACTTACTTTTTAAAATATACCCTTTATTTTTATTATTGTATATGCATTATATATTTACTTGTTTATCATGTATTTTAAATAATATTAATAAGAAATCATTAATATTAAGAAGAAAATAATAAAATATTAAGAACGATATTAATACAGAAACTACTATGAGATTATTTCTTATTGTACTGCAAAGTCAAAATATTTTAATTACTTTTCCCTGTTATTAGTGTGACTTTTTAAATACTATATCAGCAAGAGTTGCATGTTAATACATTTTGGACTCTGGACAAGATACCATGAAAAATAGGCCAATGTGTCTTGGAACTCTTGTAGAAATTTGAAATGAAGATATTGAGCTGAATCCACGTGGAGTTTTTCTCTGAGAGTGGTGTATAAAAGGAAATCTTTTTGCAGAATATGGTTTGGAGTTTCTGAATTAAATGTTGATCTCTATCCCTCTTGAAAGTTCAGGGACTTTAACAAAATGAATATTTCACAATGTCTTATGATTTTAAAAATTGTAATTTAAGTCCAGTATTATAACTTAGTTAAGAAAATTATATATAAGCATCATAGATAATATGAATTCATGTTAATTAGCAATATTGATTTTACTTCATTAGAAAATGCAAAGGCCTCCAAAAAACATTGAAGAATTCTTAAAGTTTCAAAATTTGGTGAGTAATGCATCCTATGTTATGTACAAATATATCTTTTAAAATATCTGTTATGGAGATATGAAATATTAGAAATAGTCTTTCAAAATAGAAAGTCAAAAATACATCTGAATGTGGAAAATGTCTATAAATGTTTCTTTCAGTAAACTTATTTTGTTATCATTCCTCTTGTCAATGTTCTGTTCCCTTTCTCACTTTAAAAAAGGGTTTCACTATTGTAGGGTAAGTGATTTTCAGGGTTTTCTGCCCTCCCGCCATTAGGATTGATGATGGAGCCTTGTGGTCCTGAATGCATGCCTGATGGCGGGCACATAGAGTAGGGTGTGGCATGCGTAAGTAGGTACACCTGGGCTAAGACTGGGCTTATAAGGGCGGTGTCATGGGGACGCAGTATTGCAGAGAGCAGAGAAGCAGAGAGAACAAGAGCGAAAGAGAAAGCAAAAGAGAGGCAGAGACCACCAGAGAGTCCAGCTTCCCGCCCCTGGTGCCTCTGCCTGCCGTGTACCTGGAAAATTCCAATAAAAGCCTGAAAAGCCACTGAGGGCTCCAGGATTCCTCCTTCACCTGTCTGCTTGAATCACAGGAAACCTGCACTGTGGGCCTCCCCGGTGGCGCAGAGGTTGAGCGCTGGGTTGCGAAGCTGCACGCAGCCTCTGCAGCGCCAGTTCGATCCCTGGCTGCTCCCCGGACACCGGAAGAGGGTCCCGCATGGTGCGCAGACCTCTCCTGCCGCCCGCTGCTCCCCTCAGCAGTGTACTTCGGTCCTTCTGCCTGCTCTGCTCCCCGCTCTGGCTCTGGTGAATTCTCTCACCCTCCCATTCTTCTGACTGTACCCAGTGCTTGTATAAATAAATAAATAAATCTTTAAAAAAAAAAAAAAAAACCTGCACTGTGTCCATTCCTGCCGCTACAACTATCAGAGGACATTTCTATATAATTTTGGTAATATATTATTTTTGTCTTACCTATTTACACTTTCAAGAATATATGACAGGACCTCCCCAGTGAGCGGGTTGAGTGCCACGCTATGAAGCTGTCCTCAGCCTCTTCAGCATGGGTTCGATCCTGGCCGGCCAGGGAGAATCCCACATGGCGCAGCAGACCTCTCCAGCCACGCCTGCTGCTCCCCTCAGCAGTGTCTTTGGTCCGTCTTCCTGTTCTGCTCCCAGCTCTGTCTCTGGTGAATTCTCTTACCCTCCTGCGCCTCTAAGTGTACCCCAGTCCTTGTGTAAATAAATAAATCTTAAAAAAAGAATATATGACAATTATGCTACTTAGCTCAATTATTCATGCACTATAGCTTAGACTGACAAGTAATTTGTAGAGGAAGTCCTTGATTACTAAATCAGAATGAAATGTTCAAAAATGTTTTATTGTTGAAAACTCCAGTTTTCAGTGTTGTGTGTAGCAGTTGTATTTCCTACAGAATTTAGAGCTATTGGGCTTGTTGTGAGTTTTCACTTGGGTTCACACACTTGTGAGAACCTGAAGGTCAGGTTTGTTTTGTATTGAGGAATGTCGAGATTAGAATAAAGATGTTAGTGTGGAAGAGAGAGAAAGAAAAGGAGTTTTCCTTTTCTAATGACAAGTGGACATATTTTGAGTAGATTGGAGTTTAAATGACTTGCACATATTTATGTTTAAATAGTATTTGTTATGACTAAACTATTGACAATAAAGTTCCAAAATATCTATTTTTAAACAATTATTTTCTATTCTTACATTTATTTAAATATGTTCTAAAAATATTTTGGAAAAGGACTGAGTTCCTTTTAGAAACAAACAGAAAACAAAAACATTCCTAGGAACTGAGTTCCTTTTAGGAACAAATAGAAAACAAAAACATTCCTAGTTTATAAAAGTTTATTTCAGTCACTGTAGCAGAGCCAAATATTTTGAACTACTTTTAGGGCAAGATAGAGAGCTTTAGACCATCTTCTAAAGCTAAACACAATATAAAAAAAAAATTGCTGGACCTCCCTGGTGGCACAGGTGGTTGAGCACAGTGCTATGAAGCTGTCCATAGCCTCTGCAGTGCCAGTTTGATCCCCGCAGGCCACAGAGATGCCCACATGGCGCAGCAGACCTCTCCTGTCTCACCAGCTGCTCCCCTCAGCAGTGTATTTCAGTCAGTCTGCCTGTTCTGTTCCCTGCTCTGTCTCTGGTGAATCTTCTCACCCTCCTGCACATCTAGCCTATACCCCAGTTCTTGTATAAATAAAAAAAAAAATTGCTTAAAGGACAATTCAGAAGTTACCTGACAACATCCCCATGGAGGATTTGAACTAAGGTTGGTGGCTTTAGAGGTGAAAGAGACAATGGTCAGGAAAGTAATATCCTGGTTCTCAAAACATGCAGGGACATAACTATCCATGACTCCCCAGGATGTGGTGAATTTCCCCAGAGGGACTTTTCAGAAAGGGAATACAGAAAGGTTTAGTTGTGGGAATGACATGGGTCACTGGAGTTTCATGGCCAGTGTGGGCAAGGAAAAATTGCTCCTACTCCCCATCCCCAGCAGAAAAGAACAAAGAGACCTCAGGCGGAACCATGCTGGATTCAGTTTTTAGGTCCAATGGCAGGGGGAGGAACTTGTGGGAATGAGAGATCTCATAAATCCCATGAAAAGAATCAAATGGTTGAGTTGTAGCTCTTACAGCCAGATTACCTCATGTACAGTGACTGCAGTGATGGCTCTGGCAATGGCCATTGCCACACAGCATGGGACTAACAGCCCATATTGCATGACCCCTGCCTTCCAGGGTCAAGCCCTGTCTGAGTCCAGGAACATGAGCCCTATGGACTATATCTAGCCCCCTCTTTAGGACACTCAAATTTTGTGGCATATTACCTGCCACAGAACAGAGCAGCAAGAAGGCAGCATGGGAAGTGAGGATAACTGAAGTGCTGAACAGATTGACTTTGGGGAGAAAGGACAGGAAGCAAAGAGAGGTGCTCTACCAAGCTACAGCTGCTCTCACCCTTCAGGAAGACTGAGGCTGAGTATTTAAGAACCAGCCTCTCCTCCTGATCCACCTCCCACAAAAGGTAAACCAAGAAGAGAAAAAAAACAAAACTAATCCTGCAGTGCCCCAACTGCAAAAACAGGTAAAAATAAGGCAACATACATAACAAGGACCCAAGGAATATCTGAAAACGAGATGAAAAGAAGGTAGAAGAAGATTAGGAGTTCAAGACACTTATATAAAAAATACATGAGGGCCTCCCCTGGTGGCACAGCGGTTGAGCACTGGGCTGCGAGGCTGCCTGCAGCCTCTGTAGCGCTGGTTTGTTCCCTGGCGTCGGGGAGGGGCCCACAAAAAAAAAAAAAAAAATACATGAATAAAGAACCTAACAAAGACTTTCAAACAATGACATGAAATGTGCTAAGTTAGATACTAGAAGATCTGTCAAAGACAGATAGGCAGATTTAAGTTCCTGGAAAGAGGAACCAGGAACAAAAAGAGTTCTTCACCAAAAAGACTGAAAATATTAAAAGAACATGAAGAGAGACTCTAACTGAAATGAGAACAAACATTAAAAAAGAATCTTAAATATAAACTGGTAGAAGACAGAATTGCAGAAATAGAAGACTAAAATGTACAATTCACTTAACTGGAGAAAGAGAAAACAAGATTTAGGAAAATTGAAAAGGCTCTGTGAAAAATATAAAATTCAATTAGAAGAAGAAGCATGAGGATAGCAGACATTCCAGAATTTCCTGAAGTGAACATGGCTGTCCAGGAAGCAGAAAGAACACTCAAATTTTTAAATGCAAAATGTCCTGTATCAAGGCACATCATATTAAAATTATCAAAAATCAAAGACAAACTGTTACAGTCAGCCAAAAGTAAAAAAAGTAATTTACAAAGGAAACCAAATAAGGTTTTCATCAAATTTTGCTTCAGTCACCCTCAGGCAAGAAGGGTGGAATGAAATGTTCATAATCCAAAATGATAAAAACTGGTAACTAAGACTACTCTATCTTGCAAAATCATCATTCAAATGTGAAGGTGAAATAAAGGTTTCCCAGACATCAGAAGCTATTGGTCTTTGGGAATTGTATCCTGTGATGTAACTTATTCTGTGATCTTTTTGTAAATTACTAGAAACTTCTAAAGCTTATGATTGTTTCACATTTTTTAAAAATACGTTTTATTAAAAAGAATACAATGGAATAAAATCTCAAGTTAGCTTATTGATTTTGAACTCTTTGTTTATTAAAAATGATTTAAGTTGTAATCTGTCACATTTTTTGCAGGATTATTGGCCAAGGAAAATTACTCTTAGAGATATTGATGAATGTTCACACACTATGAAGAAAATAAAAGAAGATAGTTCATTTGCTTCGATTTATACACATTTATGGGGAAATGTCCCTCGAAAATATGAAGCATTCGCAATAATGGAGACAAGATTAGATGAATGTTCATTTCACTTGAAAAAACATGCCTCTAAAATATTGGAGTGGAGCAACATCATGTACAGGACAAGTAAAACCTTATTTTTTATAAGTAAAATGTCACAGTGTGTCTGTCTCCATGTGCATATTCTCAAAAAGAATGAAATTGTAAGGATATCTAACATATTAAAAAGAATTTATTTTATTTATTATTTATTATTTTGTTTTATTATTTATTTTATTATTAATATTTATTTATTATTTTGTTTCTTTCTATAACTTTCTATACCTTCTTCCTATTAAGAAAAATAATTTTATATACACACATTTTCCTCCCTATCTAAATATCAGAACTTGGACTCCAGCCTAGGCCATCTGGAGTTCAAGTCTTATACAGGGCCATACTCCAAATTACTGTACTTGATTGAATTTAAGGCGACCCTGATACAACCAAATGTAAGTGGCTGAACAATTTGAAAAACATGAACTTGTTCAGTAGGAAAGGAATTGACATAAAACTTTACATATGGGAGTAGGTACTAAAGATGTATTACTTGGAACCTGACTTTACTGAAAACAAAAGAGAAACAAAATGTAGTAGTTATAATTATTCATTCAATTAAGAGGGTTTGTATCTAGTGTTGGGTTTATGAAAATATTAATTTCATTGAATAGTTTCATATATAATTTCTTTAAGGTAATCATTTTTTTTGTATTTTAAATAATGTGTATATACATTTATATATTGTGAATTCTCACTTTTTAAAGGTTCTTATGAAAAATTGCAAAGATACAGGGCACGTCTAGCAAAATATCATAAGAAGAAGAAAATAATGGTAGAGTATCCATTTTCATCTTCCTTCATTGTTTCTTCTGTGAAAATACAATCACTGTAATTCTGTAGATAAGCACTGAAAATGTTTTTTTTTTAATTTCCCGTTTGTTATAATCTATCTATATCTGTGTTTTTAAAATATGGAAAAAGAAAAATATCAGATGGTTTTACTTATAAGAAAAATATAGGGGAACTAGGCATCAGGAGAAAGCAAAACAAAAACAAAACTAGTGGGCAAAAGATACATGGAGACATTCAGCAGGGGACAGAAGAGCACAAGAGACTATGGTGAAGGTTCACGGGTGACTCAGTGGTGGAAATTCTATGGTGATTACACCTGACAGGAACAATGATGTAAAAAATAATACATATATCAGTAAAAAAATAGAGAGAGAGACTCATATTTTTCTTTTTACAGTCAATATTAGTGTTGGGATTTTCACATTGTTACAAGTTATTTGAAGATTTGTTTTAATATATACATAGTACATTCTCTGGTTATTTAATAATTTATAGCATCTTATACTTACTGGTATAGATGGCCATATCAATCCTTTTTCTTTCAAAAAATTAACAGTTCTTTCTGATTACCTTTAGAATTATTTTGTCAATTAAAAATCTTTTAAAATTTAATAAGCATCCTAATTCTACCATTTACAGGTCAGTCAAATCTACCTCCTTATTTGTCATTTTAATTTTTATTTTTCAAAAAAATTAGAAAGTTCTGATTAAGTTATATTCTTCTAATTCATTAATTAATGGAATTTTTATAAATATTCTTTGTAGATCATTTTAAAAATTAACTAAAATGTGATAACCCTTTTATTGGACATTGGGTTCATTCTCGCTATCACTATTGTTTACGATTCTGAGAACATATTTGAAGCTAAAGATTGTGCATCTCCATGAATATTTTCTTAAGCTAAATTTCCAGAAGTGGAAGGACATGTCCAAAGAAGTGAAAAAATCTTACTGTTTTGATACATATTGATAAATTGTTCTCTAGAAAGGTGCCACCAATTTACATTTGTAACAAAATTTGATATTGAATTTGATATTGAATCCTTTACCCACTCCCTTGTAGACATTTAATTGTGCTAATGTTTGCAAAGTTTATTGATTTAAATGTTATCAATTGCATATGTTTTAGTGGTAAAGTTATTTTTAAAGTTTTTATTAGCTTTCATGTTTCTATTATTATGAATTTGAAATTTAAAAATTTTTATTTTAAATGTTTTCCAGCTTTCAGATGAAATGATGACAAAGAAGAATATAGAGGTATTTAAATTTTCTGTTCTACAAGATTATATATCAAAAGTATTATGTGAGATAATAGAATATTTACAATAATAATCATACAGCTAAAAATATAGATAGAGGCCCCAGGAGAGTTAGAAAAGGTATAGAAGTTTTCTCTTTCTTCCTAGCCCATTTCTGTATGTGTAATCTAGCTAAATTCATCATCATTTGAGTTATGTCAAAGTTATTTCTGAAAGGGCCTCCCCTGGTGGCGCAGGCTTTTGAGCACTGCGCTGTGAAGCTGTCCGCAGCCTCTGCAGCGCTGGTTTGATCCCAGCCGGTGGGCAAGGGTCCCACATGGTGCGGCAGACTTCTCCTGTCATGCCGCTGCTCCCCTCAGCAGTGTATTTTGTCAGTCTGCCTGTTCTGCTCCCCGCTCTGTCTCTGGTGAATCCTCTCACCCTCCCGCGGATCTAGCCTGTACCCCAGTTCTTGTATGCATGAATAAATAAATATTTTTTAAAAGAAGTTATTTCCGATATATGGTTTTGTTTTGCCTTTGGATTTATTGTATAAATATGACAGGGTTCTTGGTTTCAGAAAAACAAAGATATGAACATTTTCCTCAGGATAAATATTTTTCATTTGTTTTAGTAAAAAGGAATAAAATAATTGCATTAATGAATGATTGCTAAATGTCATCTACAGTTATATGAGACTACTGTATTTAAAAGAGAAATGTAATGACTGACTGTCCTGTGATATTTCCCCCTTTGCAGGGTTCCAGCTTCTCAGGATTCAAATCAAATGAGCTTACTCGACTACCCAGACATTTGGATGCTGAACGAATTTATCTTTTTATTTTAAAAACCCATAACTTTGATGTATGTAAACATTATTTTATTTTTATTGTAAGGTAAAATTTGAGTATATGATTTAATGAATCAAAGTCTTATTTGAAGCTGTGTCAAATATGATGTGAGTAAGATTTAATTCTTTGGGCATTGAATGTGCAGGAAAGATCAGGGATGTTTAATACCCTGACCACCAGAAGAGAATGTATTAACTCTGTGTTACTAACTCAGGAGTCTGAGATAACTAATGTGTATTGGCCCCGTATGTTATGATACAGGTATTTTCCCCCTTCCTCTTTTTTGCTCTTTCATCTCAGGATATCTAACCTGGTCATATCCCAAAATAATTTATGAGAACCCAAAGCCCAAGCCAGTTTTTCAACAGCAAATCGACATATGAAACAAACACACTAGAGAAGCTAAAAATCACATTTGCGCTTATGGTAGCCAGTGCCATAGGGAAGCCCAGTTTCCCCATGGGGCTGACTAACCACGGATGGCTCTGTCCTAAATCACGTTGGACGCCAAATCTGTTATAGGACAGGGAGAGGGGCAGCCCAAGACCCCGCAAACCTGCCTATTCTAAATGGGTTCTGCCATCCGCCACATCAACACAAAACATAGGAGACTTTAATGGGAAGGAACTTTAATAAAACTAGGAAACAATACAGGTAAGGCAAAGAGTCTAGTTTCTAAATGAAGCATCCAGAGTTACCCGTCCCCTCGTGGGTAAAAGTCCATCCAAATGGGATTGGCCCAGAACAAGGCCCCAAAGCCTGCCACAAGTCTAAAGCATCTTCCAGTGGGGACCCACAGAAAAGGGTCACAAACAACCGGACAAGTCCGGACGGAAAAGAGCAAAATCAACATCAAGATAAAAGCTGCCATTGTCACCTCCCCACGGGTCTCACCCACATCTGTGTCACCCAGTCCACGACCAAAAGACAAGCGCAGTTTCTTCACGTGTCTCTAGGCTCCACGCGCCTGCTCCAGGTCTCCTGGCTCCATCCTGCTTCCTACCTCAGTCTCTTCTTCCGCTTCTCCTCTTCCTGCTCAGCTCCACCCTCCCTTGGGTGGGGCAGGGAACCTCCCCCTTTCCTGGGGACCACCCTGTTACAATATCCCAAAATAATTTATGAGAACCCTTCCTTACAACCCCACTTTTTGATGCTTTAAATATCTGGGGAATTTGGGGGCAGTATCTCTACAGGATTGCCAACTAATAAAAACCTGCAGGCAAAAAAGTTAGCTAGATAATTGACTAGCAATTGCCAGGGTAGGATGAGGTGGTAATTGGCATTTATTTTTCATCCACATTAGAGTCAAATGGTCACCCAGCAAGGTTTCTGTTTCCTGAATGCTTAAATAATGCTCCTTGTACTCCCCACCACCCACCCACCATCCCCAGGCCCCTCCCCCACCTCTGGCAGATTTCTTTTGGATAGCTCTCTGAAATGGACTTATCCCCAGTCTTCCTATGGTTATTTCTCAACACTAAAACCCTGTAATTTCTTCTCTTAAATTTGTCCTCTGTTACCCATTAGAAGGAACAGTGTCAATCTATTGCTATTGAGTACATACTTTTTATAAAAACATTTACATTAATATTTTATAATGAATTTTAATTTGCTCTCTGTGCCTTTTTTTCCTACAGGAAAAAGTTTTTAAAATTTGGAAGACTCATTTTCTCTCACCAGCCTCTATTGCTCTTTTGCATGATTCATTTTGGTGGTGGTTTCTCCATAAATTTAAGGTATGATGATATTCTTAACCTCTTTTTTTAAGTTGTTTGCATCATAATTAATTTTTCAGTAGCGGTAATACTGGTACCAAAAAATGTTTTCCTGGATTCTTTCACAGAGTTTGTTTTTTTAGTATTTCACACAAGTTAGAAACCCTGTTTGAAATTTAAACTTCTTTCAGAAGAGTTAACATTAATATGGATTTCAAAGATTCTGGGTGTTCAGATCAGAAAAATATTAATGACAGCAAACATTATAATAATTAATAAATTAGTAGCATTATTCAACACTAAAATTTACTGATAAATATTAAACACAAAACCCACTGCAAAGCAGTGACAGTAAAAGAAGTTCCATTTGGGAAACAGTCTGAAGATCAGATGGAAAGAGAGTCTTCACTTGATTCAAAAAAATAAGAACTTTTCACTAGGATTAAAAGGAGAAATGATGGGTTTCTGGGAAACATTAAGAGAATAGAAATAAGCAGCACATGACTCTTATGTTAGAGAATATGTAAGCCTGGAAGAAGTGTTTAATACCAACATAGACTCTGAATCTGGAAGAATGGAAAATGTAGCAGCCCAGGAGATCACAGTCTGAACATCAAGGAAGCTATCCCCTCCAGAAAACCTGAAATGAACTTGACTCTCCCCCTTTATATAACTCAAGTCACCAAAAATGTTGTGGATTCTCACAGAAATTTTATAGCATGAAATTACCAATGTTATATACAAACCATCTGATTAGTGATTTATATTAGAATAGTTAATATTATAGATAAGAATGCCTGCCCTGTATTTACAATAACGTTAAGAACTAAATATTGTTAGGAAGTAGCTTACCACTTCTACAAAGGTAATTATCTAGAGAAAGTTGTGAAATAAGGAGAGCTTCATTACGTTAAAATCTCTAGACCAGGATCCCAAATTCGTGATTTTCCTTAATAATAACAGAAACACAATTTTCCCACTTAAATCTTTTAGGATTATATATAATAATTTTTGAAAGAAACATAATATAGTAATGTTCCTATTAAGGGTTTTGTCAGGCCATAATGTACAAAATGCATTAGTATTTTATTATTTTGAACAAACAGGAAAAAAAAATTTAAACAAAAATGTTAATGACCCAATCCATTTTCAGAATTATACTTGGAATAAGAAAGAGTTAAACATTTTTAAATCTTTTTTTTTAAAGATTTATTTATTATTTATTTATACAAGCACTGGGTACAGTCAGAAGCGCGGGAGGGTGAGAGAATTCACCAGAGCCAGAGCAGAGAGCAGAACAGGCAGACTGACGAAGTACACTGCTGAGGGGAGCAGCAGGCAGCAGGAGAGGTCTGCGCGCCATGTGGGACCCTTGCCGGGGGCTGGGGATCGAACTGGTGCTGCAGAGGCTGCGGGCAGCTTTGCAACCCAGTGCTTAACCACTGCGCCACGGGGGAGGCCTCATTTTTAAATCTTTAAGCAAACTATTTTCTAGGAACCATGGCTTTCTAAATTTAAAATGAAATAGTTTATTAAAACTTCAAAATATAATTTAATAACATTTCCAACATCAGTTATGATTCTGATGTTTTGAGAAGCAATATGTGATGTAGCTGAATTAGTGTTCTGCTAGTGTTTAGAGAACTAAGGGGGATGGGAGTAAATTGGTGATCCAGATTAAATTGAAGCAAACTTTCCACGTTTTAACCAGTACATTTTCTCTTTCATCTGTTTCATTTATTGTATTTAACTTAACAATTTCTTCTTAAGAGGATTCCTTGTTGAAAAAAAATACATTGAAGCAACTGAACTAGATAAATAATATGAACTCTTAGGTCCCTAAATATACTAAATAAATGTGGTAGGAGGCCCATTTGTATTAGTGTCATGTGAGACTAGATCCATTCCTTGAATATTTCAGTTTTATTAAGTGAGCCTATATTTCAGCTGTGATGCATTTTTAAATGAATATAAAACAAATAAATTTATTTTGGGGTCTGTTTTATAAAGAATAAATAGTACTGATTTTATAACTGGAATATAATAAAACCCCAAGCTACTTGTACAATTTAATTGCCAGTAGTATAATGTACAAAATGTATAATCATATTCTAGAATTTAACATGTTCTAGAATTGCTATATTATTTGCTATATTATTAATATAAAAGTGGATTTCTTCTATTTATTTCGTATAATTCCACAGCTAGTAGAAAAAAACATTGAACTTGAACCCATAAAACTGAAATTTTAAATCTAGTTTTACTGGTGTAGTTAGTGTGAGACTGGGATAGTTAAGAAATCTGAGATTAACCCAGTTATTTATTTTTGTTTATATAAAAACAAAGTAAATAATAAACAGAAAAATAATACATTCTGCCTTTCCCCTAGGCTGTAGTGTATACTAAAGGTGGCATGAATAAGAAAAAAACTCAACTGTGAAATACTATATAAATACAATGTAGGAGCCTATAAAAATAAAGTTAAAAGATGTAGCTTTCAAAAACAAGTTTATCCACTTAGTAAATGGTATAACCTTGAATAGTTATTTTTTCTCTAAGTCGTAATTACCTAGCTTATTTGGTTGTTGGGGAGTTAAGTGAAAAAAATGCATAAAATCGTTTGTTTACATGGAAGTAGGCCTATATTGTAAGTGTACAAAGGATGCATAGAAGAAAACAGAGGCAAAACACTCCATGACATAAACTTCAGAAGCATCTCTGCAGACACATCTCCAGCAGCAAGGGAACAAAGGAGAAGATAAACAACCGGGAGTGTTTATCAGATCAAGTAGCTCTGTACAGTGAGAGAGACAGTGACCAGAAGAACAAAGAGATACCCTACTGAAGAGGAGAAAATATTATATCTGATAAAGGATTGTTATTGAAGGCCTGCAAAAAGTTTATGCAACTCTACAAAAGAAAACAAGCAACCCAATCACAAAATGGGCAGAATTGCTAGATAGGCACTTCTCCAAAGACATGCGAATGGCTGCAGACAGATGAAAAATGCTCACCACTTATCAGGGAAATGAAAATCAAAACCACAATAAGATATCACCTCACACCTGTGAGAATAGCCCATATCAAAAAACCGGAAGCAATAAGTGCTGATAAGGGTGTGGAATAAAAAAGGAAACCTATTATACTGTTCGTGGGGATGTAGACTGGTCCAGCCCCTATGGAAGCAAGTGTAGAGATTCCTCAAACCACTAAAAATGGATTTATCATATGACCCAGCAATTCTGCTCGTAGCTATCTACCCAAAGGACACAAAAACACTAATTCAAAAGGAAACATGCACGCCTATGTTTTTTGCAGCACTGTTTATAATAGCCTTTTTACAATTAAAAAGATATGGAAATAACCTAGATATCCCAGGATAGATGAATGGATCAAGAAGATGTGGTATACACACACAATGGAATACTACTTGGCAATCAAAAAAGATAAACTCATGCCATTTGTGGCAACATGGATGGAACTGCAAGGCATTATTCTAAGTGAAATGAGCCAAAAGGAGAAAGATAAAAACTGAATGGTTTCATTTATATGTGGAATATAAAAAACCAAGCATAGGATCAGACAATGACAAATAGTAAGACTGACCCTGGAGAGCAGACCATAGATCTGAGACATTAAGGGAGGGAAGAGGAAGAGTAGAAAATGGGACAGGGAATGGGGCAGGGATGGGGGAAGCAAAATGAACTATGGTGGAGGACTTTGGGTGCTTTGCTGGTGGGAAAATTATGGTGAGCTGAGAGGAGAAATCCTATAATTTGAAAAAATAAACAAGGATGTTAAAATTAATTTTTTAAATTAAAATCAACCTAAAACAATCTGTTTGCTTAATGGAGCAAAAGTTTAGATTACTATATTAGGACTATGTTATAATATTGACATTATTTTCTATAGGTTTCTTTCTTACAACATAGGTGCTTTGTTTTCAGTATCATTTTACTAGTTTTGCCTATGGCTATCTTATTTAGTTAATGCTTGAATTTTATATCCATATACTGATAATAAAAGAGTTAGAATGGTTTGAGAACAATTGAGGGTAACCAGATCATCAGTTGCCCTTTGCATGTCCTATGATACAAGAACATATATGAATTTATCAAACATGTGTATGCTTCCTGTGTGCCATGCACTGTGCTGACAGCTTGAAATATTGACAAATATAACAAGATACTTGTCCTTATTTAATTTTATTATACCACTTTCAATTATGTATATATTACCTATGTTTGGCAAATAAGGAAACAAGAACTTAATTAACTTGCCCAGGGTAATGCAGATAATGAATAAGAGAAACATCATTAAAATTTGGGTCTACACAATTCTGAAACCCATGTTCATTCCACTATAGCAATCGATACAATCTTTAAGAATAGATAAAATTGCTGATATAAGCAAGTAAATTCCAATTTTTTAAATTGTAACAGTAATAATTTTAATTACATACATGTTTTATTTTTATTTTTTTTTAAGCCTGACAGACAAAATCAAGATTTCTTGTTTGATAGAATTTCAGAAAGTTATGTGATTCTCTTCATGAGCATACCAGTAAGTCGAAAGGATGCATTCTTTCAAGTAAGCATAGAAATTAACTGGTTATACTAATTAATTTTAAAGCTACTGAAACAGAAAATAGTTATTTACATATCTGATAACATATTTTGTTACTTTGAAAGCAAAATTTCCTGAATATAGTGATATGAATTTTAAAAAGTTATGCTCCCCCTCAGAATACATTAATCCCTTACATAGGAGTCTTATAGTCTCTTTGTGGTATAGGTATTTTGTTTACAAATTAATAATTTGAAGACTATTAACTATCTTATATTTTTATATAAGATAGCTTTTTCTACTTATAGACATATTTATTATTTTCTTTTATTGTATCATATATCTTTTGATCTGTTTAAGAGGACTTAACAAGTTTATATTATGCCTAAGGACTAAGCACCTTTACAGTAAAGAAAAATGTACAAAATTTTTAATCAACTGTCAGTATAACAACAACAAAAATAAAACTAATGAATATAGTTAAATTATTTCCTTCAATAATGTGAAATGAAGATATGTAGGAATTTTATAAGTTAAATATCTAGCAGCTCAAAGCAAAAAACACATTCAAGCTACTTTTTTGTGCTGACATCTATAAATCAGAATACAAATATGTTGGAGTAAGGAAATGTTTTCATGAGTTAAACCTAAAACAAAAAGTTAATTTTCATTTTCACAATAAAAATATAAACAAATCTTAATTGTCAAATATTCATGGTCAGTCTTGATAGGTCTTACTTAGAAATATATACATTCATTGTCATGGAAGGAAACCAGTAATGGCCTGGGAATAAGAAGACTTGGCCTCATGTCCAGAATATGCTATCAATTACCTTTGGTGATATTGGCAAGACATTAATCTCTCAAGTTTATAGCTGGGTTATCTAGCAGATGGAGAGGTTGATTTTTTCCTATGATTCATAAATTGTTTTGTAGGATGGTGTTCTAAAAGAATAGACCAGGATTTTCTCTAACATTGAACTTTTTTTTTCATATTTGCAGGAAAAACCTAGTGGTTAGGATTTTGGGAAATTGTATTGTCTAGAAATAACAAAAAATGTTTTTCCTAACCATAATCTTTTACCTAGTCTATACTTTTGTGGTGAGTGTGCCTAGCCTCTTTGCATGGCTTAATAAAAGCAAGCATCCTTTTGACATAGGGTGCTGAAGAAAAGACTGAGAGGCCTATTTCAGATGGACAAAAAGGAAAGTAGTGAGAGGCCTATTAATATGGGCAAAAAAGAAAGTAGTGACACCACTACATAGCCTCCATTCGCCAGCTTCTCATCATACATGTAGTCTGATGTTCTTCTCTGGAATAGATGTGCCTTTCGATAGATTATTTATAACCTTTCTCAAATCATGACTTGACTTTTTTTCTGAGTCCCTATTTTGAGCTTTTTCCAAAGAAATATTAGAAGTTGTTTAAACAAGGTTAGAACCTCATTTGAGAACAAACTAGATGTGCATCTTAGTGATTCAATCCCTCAAGCTGTGTTTGATCTTATATTCCTTTCCCTTGTTCTATGCTTGAGAACTAGGCCTCCTATAGATCTGTCCCTCCAGAGTTTTTTAGTGGAAGTGGAGCCTCATCTCTCGTTGGCCAAGTTTCATTGTTTTTAATTCATTCAGATAAGTGGGGGGGGTTATTACTACTGGTTTATTAGTTAAGAAAAGAAATGTATTAATATTAAGAATCAAGAAATTATCTTCAGGCCCCACTATTAAGCACAAAATTAAATTAATCCAAGCAAATTTGGTGTAGATTTTACTTCTTTCTTCCAATATCATATAATATATTGCTTAAGAAAATTTCCTTGAAATTTAGGAAAATCTTTTTTCTTATATCTCCTAAAGATGAAATATTCACAGAAATTTTTAGAAGTTTCCCTTACCTTGTTCAGCACTTTGATTTTAATCATCAGTATCATCATATGCGTGATTTTACATACCACAAATATAGTATGTGGTTGTTTCTGTTAGTAAAATGTTAGTAAAAATGTTTATTCAATAAAATTAAACATATAATGTTTTAAGACAGTCTCACGCACCGTGCCCAAAAAATAATGGAGTTGTTCAAAGAATACCATTACTTACCAGCAAAATTAAGTACAACTGGATTAACTAAAAATCGATTCCTTTTTCTATGTTATTCTACCCAGAGACCTCCCCTCTTTCTCAGTTTTTAATGCTGGGGCCATGCTTGCGGGCTGGACAGCACCAGCACAAGTTCTGTGAAGTAGAAAGATGTTTTTGGCTTAAATGGTGGGGATAAAGGCAGAAAGTAAAGGATAGTGTGGCTAGAGCTTATGAATGGAACCCAGTCACAGGCTGGCCATTGTTGCTGTAACAAAGTATCATAAACTTTGTGACTTAAAATAACAGAAATTCAATATCTTAAAAATATAGAAACTCAGTGTCCAAAATGAGTTTTATGGGGCAAAAATCAAGTGTCAACAAGGCTAGTTTGTTTAGGACATACCAGGTGAGAATCTTCTTCTTAGCTCTTCTATCTTCTGGTGTCTGCCAGCAGTCCTTGGCTTCTGGTCCTATCATTCCAGTCTCTGCTTCTGCCATCATGTTACCTTTTCCTATTTCATAGTAAAATTTTACTCAGCCTCTTTCTTCTAAGGACACATGTGATTACATTTAGATCCACTAGAGAATCCAAGATAATCTTCCTGTCTCAATATCTTTAAGTAATGACATCTGCAAAGCCATTTTGCTGTATAAATTAACATTTACAGGTTCCAGGGACTTGGACATTGACCTCTAAAGCCTTTCCAATTCTAAACTTTTACGTTATTAATGGCTAAATGTTTGATTCATACATATGTGAATGCAGAGCACCAAAATAGATTTTTAAAATACTTAATATAAAAATATATCTTTCTATGTTTACTCATTCCCTGAGATGAATTTAGGGACCTAGGCATTTTAACTCATAGAATACTGGTAGTATAGAATACTTCTTGATACCTGATCATTGTTTTATTATACAAACAATACAATAGTTCTTAAATATATTAACTCACCTAAACAGGCTTAAATTATTTAGAAATAAGCTTTTTATTCTCACCACAAATATATAATTATGTAACAACAAAGGTGTTAGCTAACACTATGGTGATAATTTTGTTCCAATATATAAGTGTATTAAGTCAACAAGTAACACCTTAAACTTACATAATGTTGTCTGCCAATTTATTTCAGTTAATACCTATGTATACTTTTTATTGTAATTAACTGTAGATTTCACATTCTAATAGAGGATGACAGAAAAGTTAAATGAAATAAGTGTATAATATCAAACATTATCTTGACTTCATCTTTTATCCAACTTAAAATTTTTTCACAAATTGCTAACAAATAGCCAGGTTGACTGACTATTTCCAACTCTGCTTTGTTCATGTTCCTCAGTTAGAAACACAAAGAGGTAATAAATGGCTAAAAGCTAGCTATAAGAAAAAGGGATGTTTCACAAACTTAATTCTTTGGTAGCTGAGACAGTATATAAAATATTATATTTTTTAAATGGCTTATTTTGGTAGGTGTATCCTGATTGTTTGGCACAAGCTATCTATGCAACGTTTCAGGAAGCATTTCCAGAATCCAGTAATCTCTTTAATGATGAATTTAAAGAAGATCTAGGGAATAACATTTCTCTTTGGTTGACAGGTATGAATATGTCATTTTAGCATTGGTCAATATTTTGGTTCCTAAAACTTTTGGATTGTTGTATTTCATTTACTCCAGTAAAAAAAAAAAAAGTAGTATTTTTGCCTTATAAAACATGCCATATTGATTACTATGATTTAAAATAATATGATCATTTTGCTCTGAAAAATTTTTGCTATACCAAAATAAATTTTTTCAGAAGTCAAATACTATTATAGCCAGTAAAATTATTATAGAAAATTGAATTGTCATAGAAATTCATGCTATAAATATGTCATATTTAGAAGAAAATATTTTAAACTGCTTTTGGAATACTGCTGACATTCTCTTTTTATTGAGTTAATGTTGGTATATTGTTTGTTTTGGGGAGTATAGGATCCCCCCATATTTCAGGTAATTTTCATAGTGCTGACATTTTATGGCAAATAATATTGGGTATATTCTAGAAATAACTGGGTTCCTCACAATACATACAATCAGTCATTAATCAAGGATATGTTTTATGAACCATGTGATATAAGTGCACAGGAATGGAAGGACTGAAATGCTGAAGAAAAATAAAATTCTAACCTAGAGCATTTTACTAGAGATTTAGGCTCTTGGGTTTAAAACTAAGATGTAGTTTCATGTTCCTGGAATGACATTCCCATATTTTTTTTTCTAACTCTATTTTACTATTATAGACTATTTTACTATTATAAAGTTTTATAAATTTTTCAGCCCAAATTTTGACTGATCTTTTAAAACAGTTTTGTGTCAATACTTGGGAAGCATTCTATAATAAAATGTTTCATATTTTATGGAGAGAGCCTTTGAGAAGTAAAGATTAGAAAATAACCCTGAGACCTTCCTCCCTCATCAATAGAGAGACAACATTCTCTTAATTAAGGAGAAAAATCCAACAAATTCAAACAAAAAAAGGGATTAAACATAGCATTCTTACAGAGATACTATAAAAAAAAGTGATGCCTCTCAAAAAAAGACATACAGATGGTCAACAGATACATTAAAAAAAAATGCTCAACATCACTTACTATTCATGAAATACAAATCAAAACCACAGTGATACCACCTGGTACCTGTGAGAGTGGCCTATATCAAAAAGACCAGAAACATCAAGTTTGGCAAAGTTGTGGAGAAAAGGAATTCTTGGGCATTGTTAGAAATGTAAATTAGTGATGCCTCTATGGAAAATGGTATGGAGATACCTTAAAAAACTAAAAGTAGCAGATACACTGCTAGGTATTTGTCCAAAGAATATGAAAACACTAATTTGAAAAGAAATATGCATTTCTGTGTTTCTTGCAATAATAGTCATAATAGCCAAGGTAATGAAAACAACCTAAAAGTTCATCCACAGATGACTAGATAGAAGTTTTCAGATATATACTTAATAGGATACTATTTAGCTATTTTAAAAGATGAAATATTGCCTCTCATGACAGCATGCGTGGAACTTGAGGTGATTATGCTTATGCTAACCTACGAAAGTCAGAAAGTGAAAGACAAATACCAGATGGTTTCCCTGTTATGTGGATTATAAATAAGTAAAGCAAATCAACTAAAAAAAACACAACAAATATGACTCTCAGAAATATATTGAGTTTACCAGAGGGGAAGATTTAAGGAGATATGGGTATACGGGGTCGATTTGATGATGGTGAATGGCACTAGAACGGTGGTAGTGGGGTTGTGTGGTAAATACACACATATCAAGATGTGAAGCTGTACTCCCCAAACTTCGTAGTATTGTAAACCAATGGTTAAGTCAATGAAAATTTTATGAAAAAAAAAATGATGAAAAATCTAACAACTTTCCAACAAATCTGTTATAGACTGAATTGTCTCCCCCATCCTGAGTTCATTATGTTGAAGTCCAAATCCCCAGAATACCTCAGAATGTTACTGTAGATGGATATAGATATTTAAAGAAGATATTTAAAGAAGTAATTAGGCTTTAGTGAAGTCGTATGAGCGAGTCCTCAGTGTAATATGACTGGTGTCCTTTTAAAATTAGAGGCACTAAGGTTGTGTACAAAGAGAGAAAAGGCCATGTGAGGACATAGGAAAACAAGCATCTGCAAGCCAAGGAGAAAGACCTCAGGAGAAACCAAACTGTCACACCTGGAGCTTAGCTTTAGTTTCCAGAACTGTGATTTAAAAAAAATTTCTGTTGTATAGGTCTTCCAGTTTGTAATGTTTTATTATGGCTACCTTTAGCAAACTAATACGATTTTTTAAATTCTTTTCTAAGTTCACCTTCATTACAATATTGAACAGAAATGGTTGAAATGAAAACTCCTTGTCTTTTCCTGAACTCAGTGGGAAATTATTCAATATTTCACATTAATTTTCAGGTACACTATAGGGTTGTTTGGAAGATACTTTATATCCAATTAAGGAAGTTCTCTTAGTTTCCTAAGAGTTTTTAATATAAATATTGTCAAATCCCTTTTCTACATCTATTGAGACAGTTATATATTTTATTTTATTTTATTCTATTAATAGGAGCTAGTCCTTCCATAGTTTTTCTTTTCTAGTGGTTTTAATTGGAAGTTCTGACATATTTCTCTTCACGCATAATCTTTAGTTTCTACTTACTAACGCGTTAAAAGATTTCATTGAAATTTTTATTGCGATGATGCTATATTTACAAATCAGTTTAGGGAGAAAGGACATTTTTATGATATTGTCTTACCTTACTAAGAACAGGGAATGTCTTTCCCATTTGTTTTAGTCTACTTGGGTGTGTTTCAGTGTTTCAAAGTTTATTTATTTTTGCACAGTTCTTGTTAAGTTTACTCCCCAATGTTTAATCTTCCCATATAGTGTATTTGCAAGTGGATATTCCTTACCATTATGTCTGCTAACTGGATATTCTTTGATATATAAACATCATTAGTTTTGTGTGTGTAAATTTTATAAGCCATCATCTTTTTGAGTCCTTTTGTCTAGACTGTATCAAGTGAAGGTTGTTGTTAGAGAAAAAGAATTTTGCTTGTTTAGGCTTTTCCATTTACAAATCATGTCATCTGCTAACATAGTTTAATAAATATTTTCCAATTCTAGTGCTTATTTATTAAATTTATTTTCTTTTTAATTTTTTATTTATTTTTTACATCATTGTTCATTTTTAAACAATATTTGCTTCCCCCCATCAGGTGTAGTCCCCATAGAATTTCCTTCACCAAGGCACCAGTGCACCATCACCACAGTCCCTGTATTCCTCCCTCCTTCCCTCTCATCCCTCTCCCTCCTACTCCCCTGCAGGATGTCTCTGATGTATAATTGTCAGTTTTTGTTTTGTTGTGTTTTGTACTGTTATTATTTTTTTACACTAATGTCTTCTTTGGTTCCCCTGTATTCCTCCCTGTGACCCTATGTTTATTGCAGCACTATTTATAATAAGTAAAACCTGAAAACAACCCAAATGCCCCCAAATAGATGACTGGATCAAGAAGATATGGCATATATACGCAATGGAATATTACTCAGCAATCAAAAAAGATAAACTCATGTCATTCACAGCAAAATATTGAATGCTTTCACTAACAGTATTAAATTTATTTTCTTAAATCATTGTTCATTTTTGTAGAGTATTTGATTTCTCCCCTCAGGAGTAGTCCACCTTAGCTCCCGTGATCCATCACCATAATTCCTTAGTACTCTTCCCTCCCCTGTTTTGATCCCTCTCACTCTCACTCTCTTGCTATGTGACTCTATGTGATCTATGGCCAGCTTGCAAATTTAGTCCTTATTTTTTTTACCTTTTGTTTAGTTTCTTTATATTCCACATATAAATTAAACCATGCAACATTTATCTTTTTCCTTCTGACTTATTTCACTTAACACGATCCTTTCCAGGTCCAGCCATGTTGCTGCAGATGGCATGAATTTATCTTTTTTGATTGCTGAGTAGTATTCCATTGTGTTTACTTTTTGATCCGTTCTTCTGTTTGGGTGTATTTGGGTTGTTTCCATATCTTAGCTATTGTAAATAATGCTGCAATAAACACAGGGGTGCAGTTTTCCATTTCAATTAGTGTTTTGTGTTCTTTGGTAGGTAACTAGGAGTGGAGTTTCTGGATCATATGGTAGAACCATTTTTAGTGTTTTGAGGATCCTTGATAATAAGTTTAGTGTCTTAAGGATACTTGATAATAAATGATGTTGAACATTTTTTTATATACCTGTTGGCAATTTGCATTTCTTCTTTGGAAAAGTGTCTTTTTAGCTCTTCTACCCATTTTTTTGACTGGGTTGTTTGCCATTTTTGTTGAGTTGTATAAGCTCTTTGTAGATCTTTGATATCATTTCCTTATTAGCTGTGCAAATATCATGTGTGCAAACATTTTCTCCTATTCAGTGGGATGCTTCTTCATTTTGGTTACTGTTTCTTTTGCTGTACAGAAGCTTTTTAGTTTAATGTAGTCTCAGCTGTTTACCTTATGTTCCCGTTGCATCTGGAGACTAGTCCTCAAATATGTTTCTGAGTTTTACATCATGGAGTGTTTTGCTTATGTTTTCTTATGTGTGTTTTATGGTTTCAAGTCTTTTATCTATTTTGAGTTGATTTTTGTATGTAGTATGAGATAGTCTAGTTCATTCTTTTGCATGTGGCAGTCCAGTTTTCCCAGCACCATTTACTCAAGAGGCTTTCCTTGTTCCACTGTGTATTCTTTGTTCCTTTGTCATTTATTAGTTGACCATATATGTGTGGTTTTATTTCTGGGCTTTCAATTCGATTCCATTGGGTCTCTGTGTCTATTTTTGTTCCAATACCATGCTGGTTTTATTATTATGACTTTGTGGTATAGTTTGAAGTCGGAGTGTAATGCCTCCCTTCTTCCCCCTTTCAGTCAGGAGAGCTTTGGCTATTTGGAGTTTTTTGTAATTCTGTATGAATTTCATTAATATTTGTTCCATTTATTTGAAAAATGTCATTGAGTTTTTTATTGGAATTGCATTGAATCTTAATTGCTTTTGGTAGGATGGTCATTTTGGTAATGTTAATTCTTCCAAATCATGAGCAAGGAATGTCTTTCTATTTCTTTATGTTTTCTTCTATTTCTTTTAACAGTGTTTTGTAAATTTCTTTTTATAGGTTTTCCACCTCTTCAGGTTTATTGCCAGGTATTTAATTTTTTTTTTGGTGTAGCTTTAAATGGCATTGTAATTTCTTCCTCTTCAGACTTACTATTTTTATATAGGAAGGCTTCTTATTTTTGTGTATTGATTTTGTATCCTGCTACTTTACTAAACTGGTTTATTTTGATTAGTTATTCTGTGGATATTTTTAGGGTTCTCTTGATATATTATCATATCATCTACAAATTATGATAATTTTACTTTTACTTTCCCAATTTGGAATCATTTTATGTTTTTCTCTTCTCTAATTGTTCTAGCTAGGACTTCCAGTATTATATTGAAAAGCAGGGGTGAGAGTTGCCATCCTCTCTTGTTCCAGATCTTAATGGGAAGGCTTTCAGTTTTTCACCATTAATAATGTTAGCTGTGGATTTATCATATATGGCTTTTATTATGTTAATATACGTTCCTTTTATCCTGAGTTTTTCTAGGTCCTTCAGTACAACTGAAGGCTGAACTTTATCTTGGTGTATAAGCCTTTTGATGAATTGTTTGATTTGTTGTGCTAAGATTTTATTGAGAATTTTAACATATGTGCTCATTAGGAATATTAGTCTGTAGTTTTCTTTTGTGTTGTTATTGTTTGGTTTTCATATTAATATAATATTAGCTTTGTAAAATGTTTTGGTAGTATTCCTTCTTTCTCATTTTTTTTGGAAGAGTTTGTAGGATAGGCACAATCTTTGAATGTTTGTGAAGACATCAGTCCTGGGATTTTGTTTTGGGGTAGTGTTTTGATTACCGTTTCAACTTCACTGCTTGTAATTGGTTTAAGTTTTCTATTTCTCCTTTTTTCAGTTTTGGGTGATTCTATAATTCTAAGAATTTGTCCATCTCATATAGATTGTTGCATTTGTTTGCATATAAATGTTCATATCTATATTTTGGATTTCTGCTGTGTCTTTTGTAATTTCCCCTCTTTCATTATGATCCTATTTACTTGAGTTTTCTCCTTTTTCATTGTAAGCCTAGCTAGAGGTTTGTCTATTTTGTTTATTTTTTCAAGGAACCAACTTTTGCTTTCATTGATCTTTTGAATGGTCTTTTTTAATTTCTGTTTCTCCTTTAATTTGTACTATTTCCTTTCTTCTACCGACTTTGGGTTTTTTTCATTATTCTTTTTCTAGTTTCTGGAGATGGGAGATTAGGTTGTTTATTTGTGTTCTGTGTTGCTTCTTGATGTGGGCCTGTGTTGCTATATACTTTCCTCTTAATACTGCTTTTGCTGTGTCCCATACATTCTGGAAGGTTGTGTCCTCATTGTCATTTATATCAAGATATTTTTTTAATTTCTTCTTTGATTTCCTCATTGAACAAGTAGTCTTTCAATGCTGTGTTGTTCAGTCTCCATGCAATGGGGGAGCTCCTTTCTTTCTTTTCATAGTTGATTTCTAGTTTGATGGCTTTATGGTCAGAGAAGATAATTGGTATTTCAGTCTTCATGTACTTCTTGATGTTTGTCTTGTGATCCAGATTTGATTGATGTTGGATACTGATCTGTGTTGTCTTGAGAAAAATGTGTATTTATTTTGGGGGGAGGAGGGTGCAGTGTCCTGTAAATATCTGTTAGGTCCATGTGGTCTAGATCTTTATTTAGGGCTATTGTGTCCTTGTTTATTTTCTGTCTCACTGATTTATCCATTAGTGAGAGTGGGGTGTTGAAGTCTCCTACCACATATATATTTTCTCCAGTGTCTGTTTTCAGAGATGATAGTAATTGTCTAATGTGTTTTGATCTTCCCTCATTTGGTGATTATAAATTGATGAGTGTTATGTCTTCCTGATGTATCGTCCCCTTGGTCATTATATAGTGTCCATCTATGTCTCTTGTCATCCACTTTAGCTTGTCTTTTGTGGAGGGCCATTTGTAGAATTGTTTTCCAACCCAGATAGGGAAAATTTTAGAACAATAATCACTTACACTCAGAGACAGTTATGCTAATATTTAGGCTAACACCACACAGACGTTTAAGGTTAAGTTGTTCTTCACATAAAAACATGAATGCCTGGCCTCCCTGGTGGTGCAGGCAGTTGAGCACAGCACTGTGAAGCTGTCCGCAGCTTCTGCAGTGTTGGTTCAATCCCCGCTGGCCACGGAGATACCCACATGGCACAGCAGACCTCTCCTGTCTCACCCGCTGCTCTCCTCAGCAGTGTATTTCAGTCAATCTGCCTGTTCTGTTCCCCACTCTGTCTCTGGTGAATCCTCTCACCCCCTGTACCCTGGTTCTTGTATAAAAAATAAATCTTTTAAAAAAATGAATGCCTTTCTATGTAAAAAGATATTTACAAGATAACTGTTAATGAATACTTCATAATACACTATATAGATTATTATTGTTGAATATTTTTAGATCCTTTCTATGTTTTCACATTAATTAACTTCCAGTGTTCCATGTATGAACTTAATTTATAACTGGAGTCATAAGGTGATATTGAGTTTTAGCTCATCTAATTATTTCGTAAGTAAGATATTAATATTTCTATATAGACTATTCCTCACTTGACATTTAAGATAGTGATAGTTCTCACAGGATTCTTGTTAAGATGAAATGTGTAATGCTTTGCCAAATTAAAAGATATTTTCAAAATCCTAATTTCTTTGGCTAAATGTGCATTTTGTATTAATAGGTTTAAGGCCTCAAAAAGGTTTTTGGACCCACTGGAAACTAAATGAACTCTCCACAACAACCATACATGGTAGCAAGAAAGTACCTTCAAAATCTCTATTGGACAGTATACTACAGAGTCAAGAGCGCATAACAACTTGTAAGTAAATTCATTGTAAATTACAGAATGGAGTATATAGCCAAAATCCAGTATATTAAGTTATTTGTCACCATTTTCCAATGTCTTATTCTTTGATGATTGTCTTAATATAGTATTTGATTTTCAGGTTGATTTGATGGTGTTTTGAATATTGCGTTAGATTTTAGTTTCATTATAAAAGTAATACATGCTTAAGTCCTTTCCCCATTTGCCCATTACTGTATTTATATATAGACTTCTAGTAACTTTTCAAGTAACTACAAATAGTCTTACTTTCTGACTATATTACTAACTTATTAATAATGTGTTTTGACAATAGATAAATTTTAAATTTTTATTCAGTAAATTTAAATGTTTTCCATAGAATCTCAGTTTTGTGGTATGTCATGGCTGACTTGCCTATTATTATGAAAACATCTACCTGGGTTTTGTTTTTTAGTTTCTTAATATAGTGAATTACATTTATTGATTTTCAGATGTAAGTCAGCCTTGCATTCCTGGAATAAATCCCATTTGGCCACCAAATATTAACCTTTTTTTATCTACTACTGTGTTCAGTTTGTTAAAATTTTGGTTCTTTTCCTGTATTATCCTGTCTCACTTTCATAATAAGTGTAATGTTTCCTCCTCTTCTCCTTTCCAAAAGAGTTAGTATAAAATTGATGTTTATTCTTTTTTTCATATGGGATAGAATTCACCACTGAAGCCATCTAGGTCAGAAATTTTCTCTGTGGGACAGCTTTTGACTATAAATTCAATTTTTGTAATAGATATAATGCTATTCAAATGATCAATCTCTTCATGAGTGAAGTTTGTAATCTAGTTACTTAGAAATGTTTTGATTTATTTGAGGCTTACTTTTAAGCTTCATTAGATAGAACCAGAGAAATCTTTTATCTAGGTCTAACTTGCTTCTTTACTAAGTTAATACCATTTTTAGTATCCTACCTCATATTTTGTATATAGGAAGTTTTTCATCTAGCTGTCTGAAACATGAACTTTGTGTAAGCTCCAAGCATTGTTCTGTCTTCTTTCAGTGGTTCTATGCCAACCTCAGGCAAAGATTCAAGGATAGCCTTCCAAACATCTCCAGAATGTTTTCTTATGTCAGTCTGTCTTCTTTACATTATACTCACCTATAATTTTAGATGATCTTGGCCTTTCTGATTACTAAGTTTTATTTTCTCAACACAGTGATACCTCCGGTTTCTGCACAGATTCCCATTCCTTGCGTGATAGCCTAAAAGTTCTTTTTTAGATAAAAGATGAGATAATTGAAGAGCTCCCCCATTTGTTTCTCTTATGGATTTACAGTCCTATGCTACATATTTTCCAATATCTGAAAATCATTGTTTTTGGTTCTGGAGGAGGTCAGGGGTTCTAAGATAAGGCCTGGCACCTTGTCAGGTGAGGAAATATGGAGCCCACAAGGATATAAACAAAAACTTGTGGAGTGAAATGTTGCTGAAATGGAAGTCTTGCAGATGGGATTAGCAATGAGAAACACATGGAGAGGGCTAGAGCTGACTTCTAGAGCCTAAAGCCAGGAGCATACATTGAGCATTGAAAGCAGTGCCTGAGCAGTGGAAATCTTCTTAAACTATATGCCCTAACACAGATGCTTCTCTTTCTTCATAAAATGAAAGTCAGGCATGTAAACTTATACAAAAAGCTAAAGAGGCATTATTTGTCCCCATTGGAATGGTGGATTTTGCAGCAATTGTTGCGTATGAATTCTACAAATTGAAGAGCAGAGGAAATACTCAACATGCCATTCACCTGTTCCACATACATATGGCAGCCCAAGGTTCTGTTGGGCTATTCCATGTATCAGGAATTGTGGTCCAAACCTAAACCTTAGAAATGATGCGGGCCTCCCTGGTGGTGCAGGCAGTTGAGCGCAGCACTTTGAAGCTGTCAGCAGCCTCCTGCAGTGCAGGTTCGATCTCTACTGGCCTGGGAGATACCCACATGGCACAGCAGACCTCTCCTGTCTCGCCCACTGCTCCCCTCAGCAGTGTATTTCAGTAAGTCTACCTGTTCTGTTCCCTGCTCTGTCTCTGGTGAATCCTCTCACCCTCTCGCACATCTGGCCTGTACCCTGGTTCTTGCATGTTTAAATAAATCTATTTTTAAAAAAAGAAGAAGAGATGCCTCTTGGCTTTGGTGGTACTCACTTTAGTTATGTATTTTTTTTAATTTATTTATTTTTATAAAATTGTATAAAAATAGGGCCTCCCCTGGTGGCGCAGTGGTTGAGCGCTGGGCTGCAAATCTGCCCGCAGCCTCTGCAGCGCCGGTTCAATCCCCGGCCACTGGCAAGGGTCCCACATGGCGCACAGACCTCTCCTGCCACCCGCTGCTCCCCTCAGCAGTGTATTTCATCAGTCTGTCTGTTCTGTTCCCCTCTCTGGCTCTGGTGAATTCTCTCACCCTCCCGTGCTTCTGACTGTACCCAGTGCTTGTATAAAGAAATAAATCTTAAAAAAAAAATTGTATAAAAATAAATAAAAAGCTCTTGTATAAAAATAAATAAATCTTTAAGAAAAAAAAAAAAACAACCAAACCTAAAAGGCTAGTAGCAGAAAAGCTTAGAAGTAGTATTTATTTCAAAATCGTACTTGTAAAAAAAAAAACAAAAAAAAAAAAACAAAATCGTACTTGTAAACATGAGAATAACTTAATTATAAATTCGAGTTTAGCTCTTTTGTAATTGCTGAATTATATTTTTACTTCTGTTTTATTAGAATAATTTGTGAATGTCAGCTTAAAATAGAATGATGTATTTTAAGCACTAATGCTCTGTTATTGAATTTTATGTTTTTTTTAAGAACTTGGATATTAACCCTTTGTCCAATGTATGATGTGCAAATACCTTCTCCCTTTTGGTAGGATGCCTTTTTATTTTAATGATAGATTCTTTTGCTCTGCAGAAGGTTTCCAACTTGTTTACTTTTTTCACTTGACATTATAGATGCTTTTACTTCATTTTATATTTTTTATGATTAAGTTAACATCAGTTTATAATACTATCTATGATTTTCGGGAATACGATCATACCTCCTCAGATGTTTACTTTTATTTTTGTTGCTCTTGCTATTGGAGTTAAGACCCCAAATACATATCTAAGACTGATGCCAAAAAGCATATTGTCTGTGTTTTCTTTTATGTATTTCATAGTTTTAGGTCTTACATCCAAGTCTTTAATATACTTTAACTTAATTTCTGTATATGGTATGAGATAACAGTTTAGTTTCATTGTTTTGCATGTGCTGTCCAGTTTTCCCAAAATCATTTATTGAAGAGATTTTTCTTTCTCTTTTGTATGCCCTTGGATCCTTAGTGATAAATCAGTTATCTATATTGTTTCTGGAATTTTAGTTCTGTTCTATAGTTATGTGTGTCTGTTTTTATTGCAGTTCTATGCTATTTTGTTTTTGTTCTTTTAATTCTATTTCTATGAAGAGTGCTCTGGGGTTTTGATAGGAAGTACATTGAATCATTAGTTTGATGTAAGTACATTGAATCATTCCCATTTTAGCAATGTTAATTCTTTTTTTTTTTTTAAGTAAGATTTTTTTTTTTAAGATTTATTTATTTATTTATTTATTTATTTATTTATTTATACAAGCACTGGGTACAGTCAGAAGCGCGGGAGGGTGAGAGAATTCACCAGAGCCAGAGCAGGGAGCAGAGCAGGCAGAAGAACCGAAGTACACTGCTGAGGGGAGCAGCGGGCGGCAGGAGAGGTCTGCGCGCCATGTGGGACCCTCCTCCGGTGGCTGGGGAGCAGCCGGGGATCGAACCTGCACTGCAGAGGCTGCGGGCAGCTTTGCAACCCAGTGCTCAACCACTGCGCTGCAGGGGAGGCCCATTAGCAATGTTAATTCTTTCAATCAATGAGCACAGAATATCTTTCCGTTTCTTTGAATCTTTTTCTATCAACAATGTCTGTAGTTTCAGTGTACAGGTGTTTTGCCTTGTTGGTTAAATTTATTCCTAGATATTTAATTCTTTTTTATGGATTGCTTCCCAGTTTCTCTTTCTGCTAATTCATTATTTGCATATAGAAATGCAGCAAATTTTTCTCTTAATTTTTTAACCTATCATTTTACTATGTTCACTTATTTTTCATATTTTTTACTGGATTCTTTGCAATTTTCTATGTATATTATTATGTTATCTGCAAATAATGATATAATAGTACTACTTACTCCTTTCTGATTTGGATGCATTTTATTTCATTTTCTTGTCTAGTTATACTGGCTAGGACTTCCAATGTCATGTTAAACAATTGTGATAGAATGGACTGCCTTGGCTTATTCCTGATCTTGGAGGAAAATCTTTCAGTTTTTCAAACTTGATTATGATTTTGGCTATGAGTTTGTCATGTCTGTCCTTGATTAAGTTGAGGTATATTCCTTCTATATCCATTTGTTGAGGGTTTTTTTCATAAGTTGATATTGAATTTTGTCATGTGCTTTTTCTACCTATTGAGATGATCTTAAGATTTTTGTCCTGCCTTTTGTTGATGTACATATATTGAACCATCCTTGCTCCCTGGAATAAGTCCTATTTGATTATGGTATATGATCTTTTGACTGTATTACTGACATCGACTTGCTAACATTGACTTGCTAATATTTTGTTGAGGATTTTTGCATCCATGTTCATCAGAGATATTGTTCTATAATTTTCTTTTTTGTGTGATGTCCTTGTCTAGTTCAGAACCATGCTAAGGTTTGCCTCATAGAAATATATTTGGTAGTTTTACCTCCCTTTCAATTTTTGGAAGTGTTTTTAAAGGATAGATATTGATTCTTTGAATTTTTTCTGGAATTTCTGAGTAAAGCCTTCTGGTCCTGTGTTTTTGTTTTGGGAGGTTTTTGATTACTGTTTCAATTTCCTTACTTGTAATCAGTCTGTTCACATGTTCTATTTCTTCCTAATTCAGTCTTGGAATGCATCATAACATATGTTCTATGCTTGACAATGTTTCA